GGATACGGTCCTCCAAGGTCATTTATCCGGTCCTCGCTCAGGATCAACCTACGTCTGAAACAACTTGAAAGCACACAACACCATCAACAATCCTGTCTCATCAGCCAAAAGCAGGTCGACACTTCCCATTGAAATACTAATATGTTTATATTTGTTTAAATTGTTTTTCATTTTAATTATTCTATTGTTTTTAAGTGTTTTTGGCATTATAAATAAGATGTGTGCATGGGAATTCATTCATTTTTTTTTCAAATTATAATCCGGCCCTCCAACACTTTGAGGGACTGTGACATGGCCCTCTGTTTAAAAAGTTTGAGGACCCCTGGTATAGCACTTTGAGCTGGCTAATCTTTGAATTGGAAAGGAGAAAACTGCAGGAACTGGTTGATAGATTGACCTTTTGAGAACTTTCCATGAGAACTTGATGTCATAGTTCAGCCAGCTGATGAGGATGATGAGGGGTTTGGGGGTGCAGGGCCTGATGCTTCTGGAGGGCCCAATGCTTCTGGAGGTGCTCAGACAGAGGGGATGTTGGAACAGGATGGTAATTCCCCAGTTGGGAGAACAGAGGGGGGGGGGGGTTGGAATTAGATATTGCTCCTCTGTGTGAAAATGAAACAATTTTAGAAGCTGACAGGCAGAGAAGGGAGGAGGATATGAGTTCACCCGATGAAGGGGGGTTAGACAGGGAATCAAGGTTGCTCCTGCAGGGGAAGGAATCCAGGTACAAGCAGAGCCATGGGAAAGAGACGCAGAGATAGGCTTCTCAAGGTCAACAGAATGCCTTCATGCATTGCTGTCCTTAATTAGGGAAAGGAAGCTGTTACGTTTCAGATCAAGCAATATCGCCAATAGAGTGAGAAGTTCCTGCTTTGTTCCTGTTATGTTTTAGCTTCAGGCCAAGTTTCCTAGTCAAGTTTTGCTACCGGTGTAGAGGATTTTCCCATGGATTCAAGCTCTTGTTTCATTCCTTGTTTTTGGATTAATGTTCAAGCTTTAACCTTTGTATTGGAAATTTATCTTTTGCTTTTTGGGACTTATTCTTTCTTCATATATTTGGATTTTGACTCTTTTACTGTGTGTTTTACCAATAAGATGTTTATTACTATATTTGGCTTCCTGGTGAGTGCTTAGAGCAAGGAGAACTCTTGCTGAGGTGCAACACTTGGGTTTTGGGGATCTAATGGTAATCAACTTTGCTTCTAAGTTTGCCTCTTTACTGAACATAGCAGGGAGGTACATCTGACCACCCGTCTATCCCTCCCTCATTAGATCAGCCCCCTCCCTCCTTTTTGTAAGAAAGTGAAAATGTGGCTTTTTTTATCAAGCTTTTGGAAATCTGGTGCAATAGATAAATACAGAATTATGTGCAACTGAATATTGGAACGGCACAGGCTATGACTTTGGATAACGAGGCTAACAGTGAAGGTATTGTTTTATAGGTTTTTAAAAATGTATTTATGTATTTTATAATTCTGTTTTTAAATGCTATTTTTAGCTGCACATTGTTGAAAGCATGGAATGGTTGCCCAGCTGTAAACCTGCCATGAGTCGCCTCCGGACTGAAGAAAGGCGGGGTAGAAATGTTGCAAATAAATAAATAATAAATTACACACACTCTGAAAATGAAATTGGGTTTAGGATGGTTTCCTAAAGGAAAGGAAATCAACCACGTGCTGACGAAAATATAGCAATACTGTACTTCCAACTATCATCTAAAATTACTTTATGAGTCAGATCTGGCCTTTCAGTTGCTAGTCAGAAATCTAGTGATGCAAGTGTACAGGAGAAGAGCAGGAATTACACCTATGGCATCAAAACATTGGTCATTTCCAAAAGACTCAAAACCTTGGGATTGAAGCAAAACCCTCATGCAAGTCCTTTCAATGGACACAACAATTTCATTGAGGCATGAGTCTTGACTAACTTGATTTCCAAAATCTATAGATGGATAGTACCTTTATTATGGATTAGTTCCACAATAATCTACAAATGTTTGAGTTCTACATACAAAATTCTTCATCAGGCTAGATTTCTTTGAAAATGTGGGAAAATAGGCAAGGAAGTCCAAAAATCTGGCTAGATTAGTCATGGGGACTGACGATTGTGCCATCACTGCTCAAGCAGGCAGCTTTGAAATGGTTGAATGGAAGCTCTCTGAAACTTTAGGTGCTCTTACTGTCTATTACAGGGAAAACCAGCTGATTCCTAATCCATCTAAAATGCAGACTTTTCATCTTAAGAACAGGTAAGCATCTCTAGCTCTGCAGATTACCTGTGAAGGAATCCCACTGGAGCATTGCAGCACAACAAAATACCTGTGAGTTACTCTGAACCATGCTCTGACTAATAAGAAGCATTGCTTGAATATTAAGAAAAAAGTGGGTACTAGAAATAATATCATATGAAAGCTGACTGGCACAACTTGGGGATCACGACCAGACACAATGAAGACATCTGCCCTTGTGTTTTGCTACTCTACTGCTGAATATGTATGCCCAGTGTGGAATACATTACACCACGTTAAAACAGTGGATGTGGCTCTTAATGAGACATGCCACATTATCACAGGATGTCTACGCCCAACCTGCTGAAGAAACTATATTGTTGAGCTGATATTGCACCACTGATATTGCACCGTTGGGAAGTAACAGCCTGTAATGAAAGGATCAAGCCATTGACATCTCTGGTCCATCCTCTGTTTGGATATCAGCCAGCAAGCCAACACCTTTAATCAAGAAATATCATCCTAAGGTCTACAGAGATATTTGCAGGAACACCTCAGCAAGTGAGAGTCCAAAAGTGGCAGGTTAAAGCCCGGAACCTCAATCAATAGCTGACACCAGATGAGAAACTCCCTCCTGGCCACACAGAAGAGTGGGTGACCTGGAAGGCGCTGAACAGACCGTGCTTTGGCACCATGAAATGCAGAGCTTACTTTAAGAAATGGGGCTACAAAGTGGAGTCCACGACATGCGAGTGTGGAGAAGAGCAAACCACTTATTACAATAAGCCCTGCCACATTCACAATTGAGGACCTTCTTATAGCCACACCAGAGGCACTCAAAGTGGACAGCTTCTGGTCAAAGGAGATTTAGTATGAAACCATTGTTTTTTTGTTTTTTAATGCATTATAACTGTATTCTCAATTTGTTTTGACACAAGAAATAAATAAACCATGGGAACTGCATCAGAATGATATCTCAATATTAATAAGATATGGGACTGAGCTGCTAGTAGCAATGAAACAATTCATTGCAATTAATTTGAGACTCACCTTTCAGGCAGCTCAAAAGTATCCATGTTTAGTAAGTAGGAAGTCTCACCAAATTCAGAAGAAGAGTTTATTTCCAAATATGTAGGGAATTACAGTTTTAGAGTGATAAACTTTAGCTGGACTGGAACTATCATTAGCAAGCTGTTTTATCGTGCGCCAATAATTGTAACTTTGCCCTTCCTTTAAAAGAAACACGTAAAACCTGTTTAGCAATCTAAATTTTTACACCAGAAAGCAAGAAAAAATACTAGAGAAATGTAATAAATAGAACGAAGAGGTAATAGGCAGGGAAAGGCAACTTCGCCTCCATTTATGTAAACTGTTTTTCTAGGAAACCTTCTAGAATAAAAAGGCGTGTAAAAAATTGAAGATAGCATTTATATTAAAAGGGGTTTTTTTAACTAAAGACAGAGAGAAAAACACACTGTGCACTTTTAAAATATTTTAAAAATATTTCTTAAAAAACAGTTTTAGAAAGGGTCAGAAGACTGTAATAATTAAGTCGAAAGGGAGGAAAATATAGATCCAAGAGAGTTCATACTAGACTGATGCTAGTTTTATTCCTGGCAAATATTATGATATATGTACTGTATTAATATATTATATTATAGAGATCCACTGTGTTTGTTTTTGGGACCTCACTACAGATACCAAAACCTATAGTAAGTTCCATTTTATACAATGGTGTATGTAGTAAAATCAAAGATTTCTTTTATTACATTTTCCTTTTGGGGGGAAGATTTTCAAGTCATGGAAGACTAAATCTGCATATACAGCACAGACTTGATGAATACAGAAGGCCAATGGTACTGCTTTACCATATAATAAGTGCCTGTTCTTCTATATCCAAAAATAGCATCATTGACACATAAGAAGTCAGTAACTTTGGCAGAAGTACAAAAAAGTGTGTGTGTGTGTGTGTATTTGAATTGTGTATACTTAGCTGTTATGGAATTAGGAACTTGTTCGGAATAGAAAACCACAAGGGAAGTAACTAGAATGGATTGTCCTGGAAAGGAGTATGGCTGACTGGGTCCTTGAATCGGAGCATCCCAACTACAACATTTGACTGCAGGCCCTATATGTTTTGAAACAAAATAGACATGACAACAAAACACAGAACACAGGTAGTATTGGAGCTGAGGAATATAGAAGTAATGTCTAACCCAGTGGTTCCCAACTCTTTTGACTCACCGACTCCTTTTTAGAATGAATATCTGTGGTAGAGCCCCTGCAGCCTACCCTATGTCTTACACGTTAATGGTGTTTCGGGGTAGTGTTATGGAGTGAGGAAAAGGTGATGGATAGTAAGGGAATGTAAATTTAAAAGATATCTACACTGGCTCCAAAATGACCGCACTGGAATTAATCTGACTTTTGAAAGAAGGGTATTCCATAACTGAAGTACCAATAACTGTTGGACAGAAAAAGGAAAGCAACACCAGAATGTGAACTCACAACACTAGGTCGTAACCTCACAACCTCTGAGGATGGCTGCCATAGATGCAAGGGAAACGTCAGGAGAGAATGCTTCTAGAACATGGCCATACAGCCTGAAAAACCTACAACAATCTGATATCTAAACAATTGTGCAATGTCCACATAACTATACATAAAATTCTCCAAAATTCAACAAATCAATGCATTTGCATTACAACAGAACTAGAATGCACTGTAGAGCAACAGTAGGCCTAAATTGAGACATAACATAAAATAACACGTGTTTCTTATTCTTTAATTTCATTCACTTTTTATTTATTTTCCTGGAGTGGCCATTGAGCCCCTGGGAAGTACACATGGAGCCTTTAGGGCTTCGTGGAGCACAAGTTGGAAACCACTGGTGCAATCTATATCTTATGATGGAAATATGATAGAAAGACATGCTCTTCTAAATACATTAGATGGCATCTATCCCTCACTGTTGCCTCTATCTTCCCTCCCTCTCCCCCCCTTTTGCATTCTTGAAATTTAAATTGTAAAGACTCTGTGGCCAAGAACATTTTCTTTTGTTTACATTAGTGAGTTGTCCACGGTGACCCAGTTAGATGCTTGATGGAGCAGCAATGTGAAGAACTTGGTCCTTCCTTGTCCAAGGAACTGAACTATCAGCCAGACCACAGTGGCTGTAATGCAAACATCCTTCTTTATGATCTTCCCTTAGTTTCTCATCAATATCCTGCCATGAGTTAGCTTACTGTTGGCATCAGTGGGTTGAATAAAATTCGCAGTACATAACATAAACCAAGGAAAAAGATGCCGCTTGAAGTCGTATTATCCACAATTTTTCACTGTGAAACTATAATTTAGGAATGCACAAAAAGTTATGAAGAATTGCCCCATCTGGCTCCAGCAACAGTTTGTCAAGGCAGAAGGTCTTTATCTCACCCACCCACAAAATATTGCTTTCCACTTCAGATAATTTTAACCAAGTTGCCTGGAACTAAACTTTAAACTTTATCCATAGCAAGTACATGCTCTGTGGCTAAGCTAAGGCACTGCCTCTGTTAGAAATGGTTCTCTGCTGCCATTTTGTGAGACAGGGACCTTTTGCCAGCAAAAAACAATGAAGACATTGACAGAAAATTCGAGGTATATAAGGTGCTTTCAACAGTGTGACTGCACCAAGCCACTGTACAAATCCACAGAGTATGAAAGAGCCTGGATGCAAATATATACAACCCCCTGGTCCCCGCTGACAAGTGTCTCTACAGCAGAGTTAAAAAGCTTTCCTTGAGGGAGAGTCTCCAGTTCAGTGAGTCAAATTCAGCAGACAAATGCCTCTCAGCACCTTTTCAATGAGAGTTTGTCCTTGAGCAGGTCATTGAAATACTAAGCTTCCCATGCTGTCTACCTTGGTACTCAATTGCGATGGCTCCTGTGGTGGAAGAGAGACTGTGGGAAGAGCCGTTGTGGCTGCTGCGGTGGCCGTCACTACAGCCGCCGCATCCCCTCCAGGTAGGAGCACTAAGCGCAAGCAACGCCGGAACTCCTCATTCTTCCATGTGTAAAGCACAGGGTTGAAGGCAGAGAGGGAACAGAAGAGCTGCCAGCTGGCTAACTGCAGCCCTCGTGGCACAGCCTGGAGGAAGAAGCCCAGCAGGCTGACCCACACCAGGGGCTGCGTGGCCAGGAGAAAGGCGAGGCAGAGAAGTAGGACAGAAATGCTGCTCAGCCGACGCTGTGCCCGGCGTGGAGCTTGTGGGCCAGCTGGGAAGGGCAACTGTTGTAGTAGGTGGAAGTTGAGGACACTGACCCGCTTGACACTGCCCCGCACCCTCCTCACGATCCCCATGTAGCAGTGCAGGAGGAGGATGGTCTGACTGAGAACAGCTAGGGCTACCAGCAGGCCTGTGTAGCTAGAACTCTTGCTACGGGTAGCATTTCCATACCCCTTCTGGTCAAGCTGCCAAGCTTGCAGCCCTGGCTGCACCAAGGCAAGGAGAAGAGCAACCCCCCAGGTCAAGCTGATCATCCAAGCTGTGTGCTTCCGCTGGTACAGAGCCTGGTAGGTGACTGGCGGCTTGGTGATGAGGACATACCGGTTGAGGGCCACCAAGAGGTGGGAAAGCAATGAGACAATGAGTCCAAGGCCTACCAGCCCAACCCGAAGCAGGCGGTAGCCCTCAGAGTGAATTGTAGGAGAAGCAGGAGGTAGAAGTCCCTGTACAGCTTCCTGGGGCATCCAAAGGCCACAAACACTAAGGTCAGCGATGCAGCCATTTACAATGAAAGCATTGCTAGTGGTGCGCAGCTTTCGGAAGGTGAAGACCAGATAGATCACCATGATGTTTGATAAAGTTCCAGAGACAGCCAGTAACAAATAAACAAGAGACAACGAAATCCTGGTTCCTAGAGTGTCTTCTTCGCAAAGCAGCAGTTGTAAAGATCTGGAACTCGAAGTGGAGGAAGTGTTGGGCATCCTGGTGCACACAAATCAGGCAATGCTCCAGGCAGTCTTCATTCCTGCTTGATTTTGGAAGTGGCTAAGAAGCTGAGTCAAGAAGAAATCAAGATACATCTGGCAGTTGGTGACACACAACAAAAGAACAACACAGGCAGATGATTGAAATGATCCTGAGCATTCAAAATGTCTAAAAGAGTGCAGGCAAATCTATCCCAAACAAGCAGAGAAACTCGATGCTATGGAAACCAACAATTTTTTCAGAGCATGTTCGATCCAGAATCAGTTGCAGATAAAAGAAAGGATATAATAGGAATTCTTCAGGAAGTCAAGTGAGGCTAGGCATGTTATGATCCAACAAGACCCGAAGAGATAAGGCAAAAGCAGTCAAGCAGATGAGAAGATCCGGAGCACACAGAAATCCAACTATATACCTCCACTGTTGCAACTATGAAGTTAGTGCAATGGCCAGGAGAATGTAAGGCATAAAGGAGTGCCTTCTTGAGAAAAGCTGGCAAAAAGAGGAAAAGACATTATCAGGAGTCCCAGTACAGCCTTCAATGAGTAGCCTTCATGAGCTTTAGTGGTTCACCTGAAGACCTAGGAGCTTCGTCTTGTGCTCTACAGGATGCACACTGGAGAGATCAGCATGGGAAAATTTGGTGCTTCTGATCTGAATGAATTATTCAGTGGATTTCAGGCTTGCGGGAGCAAAAGGATAGGGAGGGAGGGATGCAGCTTACTCTGAAAAGGCAGCAATTACAGAGACTGATATTTCTCCCTTTCCCCCACCCCTCCACCCACCGGAGTTCTCAAATCACCTTCTTTTTGACACCGTACCTTTCATTCGCTTCTCCTCCAACCACTGAAACACAGCCCCAGTGGCAGAGAAACTCCTCTGCTCACACTTCATTGTCTCCGGTGCCTTCTGGTCTGTTATTATGAGGAAGGATTTCACGCCTCTTATGGTTTATAAAGAAAAAAATACATATCTAATTTTAGAGATTTTTTAGTTGCGATATGTAAAAGCATGGTTGCTTAACACATGCGTGCTGCTCCTTGGCAACGGGCTCTTTTATCCCATAGCTGAGCTCAATCTCTCCTGTGTTTACATGTGTGTCTGCAAGAAGGAACCCCCAACTTTCCAGCTCCAGTAAAATTATCTTGTTAGCCACGCCGGGCTTTGCATTTGGCAAGGTGCCGCTATAACGAATGCATACTCTTCTTAGGGTAAACACACACACATATTTGGATACTCTTTACATTTAAAGGACTACATTCATTCATTTAGAAAATGCTTTATGATAAAAACACCAAAGTGGAATGCAAAGGATAAATGCCCAATTGGATAAAATGCAGATAGTGTTATCTGTGGGGGCAGTTTACGAAACATTATTACTATTATTATTATTATTATTATTATTATTATTATTATTTAAAACTTTTATATCCTGGTCTTCTCACCTCCGTAGAGGGACTCAGACCGGCTTGCAGTGCTCATTTAGACCTGTTGAAATGACTGGATGTGCTTTTGATGTGCATAGGAAGATCCATAACTTGCTCAGATCCAGCAATTGTTACTTGCATAAGATCTAAACATTACTGATTTGATTAATTTATGTTTCAGCATCTTTCCAAGACTGCTTATTATGTTGTTATGTGCCTTTTAGCCAACAACAACTTATGGTGGTCCTATCAAAGGGTTCTCTTGGCAAGATTTACTCAAAAGAGACTTACCATTCAATGTCTTGGTGTAAGATTTTGACTCATCAACAGTGTTTCCATGGCTGAGCAGGGATTTGAGTCCAACACCCAGACCACTACACCACACTGACTGTGTAAAGAAGCTTAAAGTATAAAATATAAAGCCATCTTTGTTTCATGGCATAGCTCAAAGAGCTGATGCTTACCTATAAAACTATAAATGGCCTTGTCTGAGATACATCAAGGACCTTAATCCTTTGTTAGTAAACTGTGAGCTATGTTAATAGGATTGCTTTTTGGCACAGGGAGGTACTTGTGATCAAGTGGCAATGTTTTCTTGAGCTGGCTCTGCTCACCACAGCTTCATTGATTGTTCCCTCACAATTTGACATTAGACAACTCTGAAAACCAAGGTTTGATTTCCTACTTGGCAATGGAAACCCAGAAAACCTGGTGATAGGATCACCGAAGGTTACTATAAGACAGAAAAGATTTGAAGGCATATTACAACAACAGCATCATGTTGGTGAAGTGTTCTCCTCATGCTGGTGTACATGCATACACCCAGTTCACTAGTTTTGAGAATTTGCACAGGTAACCAGGTCAGTAAAACTGTGGTGAGAATTTTTGATTGCATCAAATGTTCTAGACCAATGGTGTCCAAGCTTTGGTCCTTCAGGTGTTCGGGCTTCTGCTCCCAGAATGCCCAAACATTGGACAAGCTGGAGTTGGAGTCCCAAACACCTGGAGGATCATAGGTTGGACACCACTAGTCTAAAACATTAGATTGACCCTTGATCAGAACTATTGTCACAGGTGTAGGTACACAAAGATCTCTCCAGAAAGAAACTCCAGAAATGTTTCCCTCGCAATGAAAAAGCATTTTGTGCAGGAAATGGATTTCATAATTAAGATTTTTCCAACAGTCTAGTTAATCAAGAAGAAAAGCAATTATTTCTCTCATTACGTTAATCTTTCAGCAACATGAGATAGCTCATTGTTAAGGCTGTGATTATAACAGTAAATTTGAATATTATATGATCAGTTTGGATATGGTAATATTGCTTGGATTGTTTTTTTTTCTTGTATTAGGCTATCCATCTTTTTTACTATAAGTGCAAGCCTGCTCTATAGGGTAGTTCACAGTTAATACAGTATGTGCATTACTGGAAGACTGCAGCACTGGCCAGCCGTGTTTTCCTTAGGTGAATGAACCATCAGAGCTCAAAGTCAAGTAAAATGAATCGTCCAACACACCAGTATAGTCAGTCCTCCATATTTGTGGGTTTAACATTTGCAGGTTAGATTATTTATTTATTTATGACATTTATATGTCACTCTTCTCACCCCGAAGGGGACTCAAAGCGGCTTACAAGTTTTATGTACGTACAATATATTATATTATTAGCATAGCACAATCTTAGTATTATATATTACTATATTGTACTATACCACTATACTGTAATATTATTAGCAATATTACATATAATATGATATATAAAATTATTATATTGTATTATTATTATATTGTATTAGGTAAAGGTAAAGGTAGTCCCCTGACATTAAGTCCAGTCATGTCTGACTCTGGGGTGTGGTGCTCACCTCCATTTCTAAGCCGAAGAGCCAGCGTTGTCCGTAGACACCTCCAAGGTCATGTGGCCGGCATGACTGCATGGAGCGCCATTATCTTACCGCCGGAGCGGTACCTATTGATCTACTCACATTTGCATGTTTTCGAACTGCTAGGTTGGCAGAAGCTAGGGCTGACAGCAGAAGCTCACGCCGCTCCCCGGAATCAAACCTGCGACCTTTCGATCAACAAGCTCAGCAGCTCAGTGCTTTAACCCACTGCGCCACCGGGGGCTCCTTATATTGTATTACATTATAATATTATCAATATTACATGTGTATACAATATATTATATTATTAGCATAGCACAATATTAGTATTATATATTACTATATTATACTATACCACTATACTGTAATATTATTAGTAATATTACACATATGATATATAAAATTATTATATTGTATTATTATTGGTATTATATTACATTATAATATTTTCAATATTATATGTTTATACAATATATTATATTATTAGCACAGCACAATATTAGTATTATATATTACTATATTGTACTATACCACTATTCTGTAATATTATTAGTAATATGCTGGGAAGTCTAGGCATTTGGATTTCCCCCAGAAGGAATATATGGTCAACTTATAGTGGAAGCTGGTCATTGAGTTGCACTGGATGATCTGGGATTCTTAGAGAGGTGTTTCCTCAGGTTAAAAAAGAGTGCTTTTTAAAATATGCCATTTCCCCTCTTTTGCAGGGGTCCTGCATCCGTCAACCCCACAAAAGTGGAAAACCTACAGTATTTACACAGAGGAGTAAGATGGTAATAAAGTGCTGTGCTAAAGAGCCGGCTTTATCACAGCAGGTTAATCATCAGCTGCAGCTGCAGTAAATCTTGCCAACCGAAAGGTTGACAGTTCGAAGCTGGGTCAGGATGAGCTCCTGACCTTCAGCCCAGGACCCTGTCCACCTAGTGGATCAAAAACAGTCATCTAAGTAGATGAATAGGAACCACATTAAATGGGGAGGTATTTTAGGCATGGCGTTTCAATCAGAAAAAGGAGGAAGGTTTACGAACGAAGAAAGCTCTTTGATAAAGAGATGGAGCGACAGCATCCCATGGCCGGAACTGAACACAGCCTCCAAAGATGCTGAAAGGTGGGTAAAAGGGGGTATATATATATACACACACACACCTCTATCTGCTGTCTGTCTTGTCAGTGTATATTCGGCATTGAATATTTTCCTTATATGTGTTCTGTGATCCGCCCTGAGCTCCCCATGGGGTGAGAAGGGCATGTAATTGCTGGGCATGTTTCTTGTAAGCCGCTCCAAATCCCTTAGGGGACATGGAGGTGGGGGATAAAAATAAAGTTATTACTTATATTATTTAAGGGCGGAATATAAATACTGCAAATAATAAATACACAAATAAATAAATTTTAAGGAGTGATTGTTTGGCATGAACAAAGGCTATACATCATTTTAAGTGCTGCAGTCTACTTAACTCTCTCTATAAGTAACACTTTTCCAAGGCTGACAGTCACCAAGTGTTGATTTATTTTAAATGAAGTGAAATCATTGTGCGAACAAGCCCTGACACGACAAACAAAGGTGATTCAGAAGACTACAATCTGTTCAACAAGCTGATTAAGAAGAAGCCAATGTTTCACTTCTAAAATGGAGTGATTCTGGAGTTCAGACCTTTCTGCCGCCAGAAACTACAGCAAAAATCACATTTCAGCGGGATTTATTATTCCCTGGTGAGAGCAAAGTATTCTTCACAGGAGTAAACCCCCTTTTAAAAGCAATGCCTCATTCATTCAAGGCTTGACATTCGAACTGTGTTCTGAAACTTGACTCCAATCTCCAAATAATAGATATAATCTTGAAAATACAATCCTGTAGTTTGCAGAGGTGCTATCAGTACATAATGGTACCCACTGGCTGTAAACACAGTAGAAATAATGACAATGGAAGATGACCACCAAGAGAGCTCTCATACATGTGCATCCATAGTGGTTTTTACAAACACTATGAAGTGTGAAGTAAGCATGGGTCTGTAGACTTGCAAACTCACAATGCCCAGTATCCCCCAGTATAATGGATCATGGAACATGGTTTGAAGCCACAGCTCCAAACAGGCTCTCCTTTTCATATCTCTTTGAGTTTTGCTAGTTTAAAGGGAGCTCTCTAGTCTGATTTATGGGACCATTTTTGTGCATTGCCTCAGAGAGATAATGAGCAACAATCATGACAAGCCCTTATGAAATGCGACAGCATTTATGCTCTCAAATACCAGGCTGACAAAAACAGCCTCGTGTGGAATTACCACCACCTGCTCCATCTTTGTCTCCCCAAATTGTCAACCTGTCTCTTGGCTTGAAGATAAAATTCCACAGGGATTTTAGCTGCCTTCTAAAATCAAAAACACCTCCTCTCTCTTTCAAATGTTACTTTTTTTTTAAAAAAAAAAAGGATGAAAAACAGCAGTAGCCCAAAGGATGGGACAACCAATGTGCCTTCAGTATGAAAAGCCACTCCAGCAAGTATTACAACATGAACACAACTCCTTGATGTCTAGAAGGATTTCCCCATGGTGGAAAGTCTAAAATATAAGATTTGAAAAAAGCAAAATGGTGTTGTACTGGGGCCAATAAGAAATTCCTTCCGTACAAATTGATCGAGGGAAGTCATGATGCCTTTGTATTCTGGTTTGGTTAGACCTCACCTGGAATACTGTGTCCAATTCTGAACATCAAAGATTAAAAGAGACATCGAATTGTTGAAGGCTTTCATGGCTGAAATCTCTGGGTTGGTGTGGGTTTTTTGGCCTGTATGGCTATGTTCTAGAAGCATACTCGCCTGACGTTTCACCTGCACCTATGGCAGGCATCCTCAGAGGTTGTGAGGTCTGAGATATTGACAAGCTGGAAGGTGTCCAGAGGGCGACTAAAGTGATCAAGAGTCTGGAGACCATGTCCTGTGAGGCGCATCTTAAAGAACTGGGTATGTTTAGCCTGCAGAAGAGAAGGTTGAGAGGAGACATGATAGCCATGTGTAAATATGTGAAAGGCTGTTATAAGGAAGAGGATGCAAGCTTGTTTTCTGCTGCCCTGGAAACTAGGACTTGGAGCAATGGGTTCAAATGACAGGAAAAGATTCCACCTGAACACAAGGGACTGTACAAGCTGTTCAACAGTGGAACTCTCTCGCTTGGAGTGTGGTAGAAGCTCCTTCCTTGGAAACTTTAAAACAGAAGCTGGATCTGTCAGGGATACTTTGTACTTTTCCTGCATGGCAAGGGGTTGGACTAGATGGCCCATTTGGTCTCTTCCAACTCTATTATTCTATGATTCCATGGTTTGGTAAACCCATTGTTTCCAAGACTCTTTTCAAGTAGCTATTTTTGTTCACAATAATGGACATTTGGTGAAGAAAACAGGGTTCCTTTCTGATGAAAGCATCCACATCCAATCTAATCAATTAACTCAACCACCAACATTATGGAAAAGGCTCACTAGAGAGATGTGCTTGGCTTGTCAGGGCTTGTTTAAAAGTACTTTTGTTGTGGCACACATTTTTCCTTTGCCAAGGGCCTCAATCCAATGCAGTGCTGGCCATTTAGCATTGGCACAAATCTACTTTCTTCCTCTCCCCTCCTCCTGCAATTCTTGCAATGAACAAAAAACTAGCTCAGTAAGGTTCCCAGGCTGCCAAGAGTTGCTGCCCCTTTCACACTACAGAATTGCTGTCCTATTTTTTCCACTTTAACTATGGAGTCCTGGACTTTGCAGTTTGATGAAGCATTAAGGATCTCCGGCTGAGAATTCAAAATGCCCCTTTCCTAAACAGCAAATCATAGGATGCTTAACTCCACTTCTAAGTTTTACAAACTTTTACTAATAAAATGTGTGATTTGTTATGCAATTACACTTTATCCCAAGCATGGACAAACTTTCTAAATTGAGGGCCCCATGGAGGGCCGGAGCAGGATGGGCAGGCTGGGAGGGAGGAGGTTCTCTTTAAGTCCCTTCCTTACTCTTTCCTCTCCTTCCGCTTCCCTTTGTTCTCTTTCAGAGGCAGAAAGTGAAGGAAAGACAGGAAATGTTTGGATCCCAAAAGGATTGGACTTGGTCGAGATGGTGGATGGGAGAAAAATATAGTGTATCCATTAGGCTCTGTATTGCTTACTCCTAAAATCCTAGAGTTGGAAGAGACTCCCAAGGGCCATCCAGTTCATCCCTCTGCTATGCAAGAAGGCACAATCAAAGCAGAGGAGTGCCTTAGAAAAGAGTCCAAGGGACTGCATCTGGGTTCCGGGCCTGGGTTTGCCCATACCTGCATTATCCCAATAGACAGACTCTGTGGAAAAGCCTCCAGAGAAGGAGACTCCATCACACTCCGAGGCAGCTTATGCCACTCTCCAGGAAGTTCTTCCTAATCTTCTCAGTTAAATCTCTTTCCCTGCCACTTAAACCCATTGCTCCCTTGTGCCCTGGTTTCCAGAGCAGCAGAAAGTCAGTTTTTCCTCTCCTCCTCAATGGGACACACTTTGAAATCTTGAAACATGGTTCTCATGTTCCCTCTCTACCTTCTCTTCTCCTGCTAAACACCCCCAGGAGGAAGGAAAAAGCAAAGGAAGGGTGGAAGGAAATGGAGGTAGAAAGAGGGAGGGGAGGGAGGAAAGACAAAAGGGAAGGAAGGAGAAAGGGGGATGAAAAAAGAAAGGAGGGGGGAGGGAGGGAAGGAGGGAGAAAAGGAAAGAAGGATGAGCTGGTGTGAGAGAGGAGGGCCTTAGAAAAGAGCCCAAGGAGCTGCATCTGGGATCCAGGCCTGGGTTTGCCCCTACCTGCATTATCCTCTGGTACTAGCTGCTATGGAAATTGTAAGATGAAAGAAAATTGAAGGAAAAATTACCTTAAAACATAAAAGCAAGCTTTTCCATGTACTTTTGAATAATTACAGCAAATAAATATAGAAGGGTACACCTGCTATGGTTATTTCTTTGTTGTAATGTTGGATCCATCCTTTCGTTACATTCTTGAACAGGACCAAAATACTAAAAGATGCTAGATAAGAAAAAGTGTTATTCACATGAGATGTTTCAGGGTGTGTGTGTGTGAAAATAGCTTCATTTTACTAGAAACTATAGAAAATGATTCCATCTAGAGAATTTTTCAGTGCACTGAAATATTACAATATATGGAATATTCCATGCCAGCCATTGTTTTATCTGTATTAATCTACAGACCAGAGCTTTTCAAACTGTATCAAAACATGTTAATGTGCCAGGTGCATTGTGCATTGTGAACCATGTGCCACAACACCCAGTAACAAATTCATGCAAGAGAGATTATCTGTGCCTTCCTCTGATTCTGACTTGCCCAAGGCCACCCTATGGGGTTCTGTGGCTGAGTAGGGATTCTAACGTTGGTCCCCCCGGAGACCTAGTCCAACACCCAAACAAACCACTACGTAAAATCATTTTAGAAGAAAAATATGGCATAGTATATGCTTTACATTTGTGAACTTTAGAAATTAATCCATATCTAATACTCCCTACAAGTAGTTCCCTACCAAGACTTCTTTAAACTTCTTTTGAAGCAGCTACTAATATACTGGGAGCATCTTAATTACCTACGATGGCAAGAAATAAATACCAAAAATAGGTTGGGTTCGTTCCATTGACTGCCTTTCCAAGTCACTCTAACATATAATAAAAGATAAGATTCGCCCAGGCAGGGAGAAGCCAGGCTTTGAAGCTGCAAGGCTATTCAGTGCTAATCAAGTTGGCCAACTGCAACATTCACACTTGCCTCAAACACACAAGAGTTCTTTCTCCCACCCTGGACATTCCACAGATATATAAACCCCAATTGCCTAGTTTCCAACAGGCCTCACAACTTCTGAGGATGCCTGCCATAGTTATGGGTGAAACGTCAGGAGGGAATGCTTCTGGAACATGGCCATACAGTCTGGAAAACTCACAGCAACCCAAGTTCTGACAGTTCTACATTATTCATCAAACCACTATAACTTCCTAAAATTCCTTTCATTTGGCCTTGTATCAAGTATTAGAAAGAATCATAGCTTAACACACATATCAAAGTAATATTTTATGTCTTGCAATTAAAACAAAGGAATAAAGCTGCATAATCTGGATGTTTATTATTTATTAGCATTTATATTTCTACATTCCAAAAATAGTACATCTTTCTAGTATCCAAGCTAGTAACAAAATACATGTCAAACTTTATAGAGGTAGAATTACCTTAGAATTTGCCTATTGCTCACGTATATACAGTACATTTCATGTACATACAATAAAAATGTTGCATCCATCGATTAAAACAGCTGCAATCAAGAATTTAGCCATCATAATTGCTCAACATTAAAAACCAGTACAGATATAGCACGCTCCCTGCATTTCTTTATGAACGGCCTTCTTCGGATGATTATATATTTGCTAAATGAGCCACAATGCCAACAAGCCTTTTTGCTAAAACAGGTAGTCCCTTTGCCCTTCCCTTTGGAGGACAAGCAATTAAACTAGGAAGATCACAACCATGTAAGTTTTCTATTTTTCCTAAACCAGGACATTATAAGAATTATTAAATGCATTTCAAATTATGTCGTGTCCTGGAAAATACAATCTACCAGTTTGAATGAAGTCGGAAAGCATAGTTTGAACACTCATGCTCCAAAGGGAGTAAAAATGGGGAAAGGCTTGTACATTTTCTGGACTTTTAAAGGAGATAGAGTTGTTAGTTTAAAGGCAGCCATTGCCTTGAGTGCACCAACTTCTAAGTGTATTAAAAATGATAAATGACATGAGTGTTGCCATTGAACTTCTACTGTTATTTTCTTCTCAATGATAATGATAATGACAAGCAGTATATATACACACAGAAAAATAAGGGAACTGCAGCATTTTTTAAAAATCATATGAAGGGTTCTAACTGATCTCTTTTCCTGTAGCAATATTTGAAAAGGTTTGATGATTAACATGAACTAAGAATGAAATGCATTAAGATATTAGTCATGGCAACAGCATTTTTCAGGGATACTGTACAGGAGAAAACAGTTGAATATGCAGATATAGTATGGCATACAGGAAACATGTCTCTAACACTTGCACAATCCAGAATGAAAACGTGACTTCCTGCATCCATATTTACAGTTGGAGTGAGAAAAAAAATATTTGCACAATGAAAGTTCCTGTCAAATGAAGAATCAGAGACATGAAAACCTTACAGCAGTGTTTCTCAACCTGGGGGTCGGGACCCTGGGGGGGAGGGGTCACAAGTGAGGTTTCAGAGGGTTCTCCAAAGACCATCAGAAAGGGGATCTTTGATTGTAGGTGAACTATAAATCCCAACAATGACAACTCCCAAATGTCAGGGTGTATTTTCCCCAAATTCCACCAGTGTTCACATTTGGGCATATTGAATATTCGTGCCAAGTTTGGTCCATATCCATCATTGTTTGAGTTCACAGTGCTGTCTGGATGTAGGAGAACTACAATGTCATAACTCAAGGTCAACATCCACCAAACCCTTCCAGGAGTTTCTGTTGGTCATGGGAGTCCTGTGTGCCAAGTTTGGTTCAATTCCATCGATGGAGGAGTTCAGAATTCTCTTTGATTGTAGGTGAACTATAAATCCCAGCAACTACAACTCCCAAATGACAAAATCAATCCCCCTGCACGAATCCCACCAGTATTCAAATTTGGGCGTATTGGGTATTTGTGCCAAATTTGGTCCAGTGAATAAAAATACATCCTGCATATCAGATATTTACATTACGATTCCTAACAGTAGCAAAATTACAATTATGAAGTAGCAACGAAAATAATGAGGAGCTGAGGAACTGTATTAAGGGGTGGTGATATCAGGAAGGTTGAGAAACACTGCCTTACAGATTTAGGGAACACTGATGTTTTTCTTGCTATGTGCAAACTCCTTCCCTACTAAGCATGGCATCCTAGCTTTATATTTCATACAGTAGTTTTCAGAACCAGTAATACAGAAAAATAAGGCTCTAAGAGCATAATGTGGGTGTAAAACAAATCATTCAGTTGAAAACATTGACTGATCTATTGTTTTAAATTACTTTCCCTTTGAATGAACAAAAAATTAATCCACACAGTTAGAATAGTCCTATTCCATAAGTATATTATATACTTTTTAAATGGTCCATTTTGAACATCGACATTTCAATGCTAAAAGCAAACATAAAAAATGAGACCAACACTAACTTGTCGTCCACCAGTAAAGTTTCTTAAACTGAAGCCACAGTGATGTAGTCATAAAATGAAAACAAGCAGCTCTGTAACGAATAGCCAGTTTCGAGAGATGTGCAAAAGTGGCTTCCAAATGTGGATACAGATTATTGAGCCCCTTTCTTCAACTCGTTCTCTTTTGCATCCTGCAAAATTCAGGAGCCCTGTAAAGCGAGACTTTGCCATAACATTTTGCGAAGCTCTCCTCTTTGAATCAAGTGCAAAAATACCCTGCACACAACAGCCATCTCTGGATACTGGTTAATGTTTGAATTGTAAAATTATATATTCAAAAATATACATTTTTTGGTAAAAAATGAGCTAATCTTAAATCAAAATATAGTCTACTTTGTACACAAGTATTTATATATATATACCATGATACATATGCATGTGTATACACACATACACATGCTAATATACTCAATACATAGATATTATAACATTGTATTCAGAACCATAATTACAAACATACTGCTAACATTAATTAGAAATGCCTTCAATATTAAAATCTTCTACCTGTACACAAAACTATAATATCCAGAAGTTTAACTTCAGTGCATTTGTAGTAGTCACTAAGTGATGTGCCTCTGGTTATCCAAAGACTTGGTTTCTTTAAGTCCTAATCATATATGAAGAGGTCTCTTCCCCGCAACATCGCTCCTTCTTGAAGAAATTTGAGTTTAAGAGCTGTCCGGCTTTTACCGAAGCAACAAGGCTTTAGTACTGAACATATTCAGACTGAAGGGACTGTGTAGGTGAAAACAAAAACCATAGTTAAGGTTCAGTGAGATACATATATGTCAAACATCATATACGGTCTTCTTGCAAATTAAAACGTTTGGCATTACGATCAAAAGCTGGATGAAAAAAAAACAGATGAAAGAGACAACAAGGCCAGGCAGCGTATTTGTTTATGGAAAATAAGAGTAAATGGGCATGGAAGGGAGCACAACTGAAGCAGTAATGTGTTTCCCACATTTCCAAAGGACATATTAGCTCAACTTTCACTGACATTATGTGTGTGCACTTTGCCTTTCCTGTCCCCCTATAGGTTTGTATTATGAGCACAAAAGTAAAAAGGTTTTCAGAACGATCTACCCGCGATGTTTCTGCATGAGTCAGAGCTACTCTGAGCTCACAATTAGAAGAAAGCCCAGAACAATGTGTGAAGATACAGCTAGAGTTTTTCTTTGAACAGAGTCAGTTTTGCTGTGTTTTCATATCAGGAAGAAAGGTGCTCCAGCAAAGACACAGCAAGGATAAAGGCACATTGATTAGAGCAGTGCTTTAAGCTCATGGGGACCTTTACAGGATTTATAGTCAGCCCTCTATATTTGCTGGGGTTTGGGACACAGGTCCAACCTGTGAAGAAATAAACTGTTAGGTTTTTTGTGTTTATTGAAATGTTTATTTTATGATTTTTTTCTCTTTTAATGTCATTTTGATAATGTTGTTGTCATTTGCTGTATATTGCTTTGATTTTATTGCTGTTTTATGTTGTCCGGGCTTGGCCCCATGTAAGCCGCTCCGAGTCCCCACTGGGGAGATGGTGGCGGGGTAGAAATAAAGATGATGATGATGATTATTATTAATAATCTGCAAGGACTCCTCTCTGAGAGTTTCTGAATCTTTCAGTGTGGCTCTATTGTCAACATCAGCTGGAAGTTGATCACAGGGTTACAGGACCACAGGAAGGACCCCCCAATGGCGCAATGGGTTAAACTCTTGGGCCACTAGGACTGAAGACCGACAAGTTGGAGGTTCAAATCCGTGAAGAGCTCAGATGAGCTCCCTCTGTCAGCTCCCCGTGTGGAGACATGAGAGAAGCCTTCCATAAGGATGTTAAAACATCAAAACATCTGGGTGTCCCCTGGGCAACGTCCTTGCAGACGGCCAATTCTCTCACACCAGAAGCGAATTGCAGTTTCTCAAGTTGCTTCGGACCCCCCCCCCCCAAAAAAGCAGCTGGAAGTTGACCACTGGGACCTAGAGATCCCCAAAGATGACTTTTAAAATCTGAGAATCTGCAAATGTTACATCATCAAAGATGGAGGGATGACTGTACTTCTTATAGCACACTCATAATTCCCTGATGCAACAATTTCCAAAGACATTGGTGGGGAAAACATGAATGGGGTCCTAAAACATTAAAAAAAATTATTATCACATTTATAAAATAATCTTCAATGTCTCACAGTACTCTTTGTTCCCTCATATTTCACCAAATGTTTGGGAGAAACTGAGTATCAGGGCAGCTCAGTGACAAACTGTGTAATGAGGTGGTGTTTTTTTTTTTTTTTTTGATGTGTGGGAAATTGTTCAAAGAAACAAACTGACTGCTTCATAGGTGCTCACATTTGGATTGTCATTCAGCATTTCAGCTGCCTTTTGCATTAAGTGCTTTAAAACAAAGGGCATAGTCATAACCACCTCTACAATTTATCTTGGCAAAGAAAACAGTAAGATGAAATTGCACTTGTTATGATCTAATTGTGCTCATTTCAACTTCAACAATGGAAAGCATTCTTCACATTTCTGATTTCTGTTCAAAAACAGCGAAGTAGGACAAAATCCGTGTGAAATGAATCAAGGCAGCACAGTTTAGAATACACTGAAACATTTGAGAGGAGAAGAGAAGAATGCAGATAAATCAATGTGCAGAATTATTGTGAGAAGCAAAGAAAGACAGGGAGAAAGAGGCTTGAGTTAGTAGAGTTAAAAGCATGCAATGAAAACCCTACTTCATTATTTGTGTCTCTATCTTTTTCCAACAGTTGTACTAACAGATCCCCTCTGAACATAGAATTGTGTCTGAAAAGAGAAACTGGATTTCAAATTACAATGTCAGAAGGGATTTTAATTCTTAACGCTAAGATCTTGCAAACAATACTGTTCCAATGCTAAGCTCACTTATCTAGTGCTAAGTTCAAAAGAAGCCAAAAGGACCGAGATCCAAATAAATTGGGGGAAAATAACACTGGCGAACAGCCCCAGCCCAATTTACCTGTCCGAACGCATCTCCCTCTACAAATCATCATGGAGATTAAGATCTTCCGGGGGAGGCCCTGCTCTCTGTCCCAGCACTTTCTCAGGTACAAATGGCAGGGATGAAAGAGAGGGCCTTCTCTGTGATTGCCCCTCAGCTACGGAACTCCCTTCCTAATGAGATTAGGTCAGTCCCCTTCCTCCTGTCATTTAGAAGGATGATAAAAACTTGTTTGTGGGACCGAGCCTTTGGGGCTGTGTAATGAGGCAGTGATAGGAACTCTTAGTATGCCAACCAGATTTGATATGGTTGTTTAAGACAGTTTTAAACAGAGGATTTTAACGTCAAGATAAGCGATTTTAATGTTTTGTATGTGTATAGTCTAGTACAGCGGTTCTCAACCTGGGTTCCCCAGATGTTTTTGGTCTACAACTCTCCGAAACCCCAGCCGGTTTACCAGCTGTTAGGATTTCTGGGAATTGAAGGCTAAAAACATCTGGGGAACCCAGGTTGAGAACCACTGGTCTGGTATGTTTTGGCATTGAATGTTTGGTGTTTATATGTTGTACTCTGCCCTGAGTCCCCTTTGGGGAGTGAAGGGCGGAATATAAAAGGCCTTAAATAAATAAATAAATAAATAAATTTTGTTGCTTCAAATGTTAGACCTCTTAAGATTCCAAAAAATGGCACCAATTTTCTCCTATCAGCTCTAGTTTTTGAGATAAGAACAAATGCCATCTACAAGTCGCTATCTGCTCACCCATAGGAGACCATGATAGTTGTATCTAAGAAAGTAAAGCTAATGTGGTCAATCCAACACAATTTTCTGAATCAGCATCCCAAATAACCCAAGGACAAATCTAAAAACCAAGAAATTTGGGGGGAGGGGGCTGGGCTGTGTAATGCAAATGTATAGAATAGATTAAGACTGTTCACTCACGGCACATTATTTTCATGCAGGCACTGAGTAATGTGAGGAATGGTAAGAGAAGACTGGGCATAACATAGATAGCAATCAGCCATTTCCATAAGATGAATGTTGCCCTGCCCACTGCTGAGCTACGTACAAGTGGATATATTTCTTTACACAGCCGTATACTCACTTTAATGATCAAACAGTCATAATACTCAAAGAGTTGAATCAATTTTGCTATTCCCTTCACTGAGTCCAACTTTTCATACTTCTGTCACATTTCCTACTATTCTTTCATTTTTCCATTTTTGAAAAATATATACATTTGTAGGCAATTGTAGAAGTTATCTTAAAAGGCAATATAAGAGTAGTTCAATATTAAAGCCCTTCCCTACAACTTACTAAAAGAAAAAAAACCCCAGTATATTACATGCATACAAAAGTAAATATATTTACGAATACATCATGAATGAGGGACCAGATTGAAAACTAAACATCAATTTTGTTGTATCAGCATTAAATAGAGACAGGGTGAGATTAGTCTGCTATAGAAGGTCTTGCTTTCCTTTTCTCCTTCAGATATACTTTACAGAACCTTTTTACATCTTTGTACCTTTGACCTTTTCCAGAATCCTTCTGAAGGAAGTATTTACACTATTCTTTACAATGATACAGGAAGTGAATAAAACAAAATGCAAAGACTCAACGATAACATTAATCAAGTACTTTTATAGGGAGAGAGAATCAAGTTTTTTGTTTCCAAGTTTAGGTTAAACTAAGTTGGAGATGAAACAACGAATAAGGCATTTAATTTAAGATATCTGCCATCCATGACTAAGATCAATACTGGATACAATTCATTGAGTGTTGGGAAATCCAGACAAGGAAAAGCTAGGACTCGTCAGTGTTCAGGACTTTTTCTGTGCAAAATTAGCACAGAACAAGCAATAATTAATTTCAGCAATGTTATCCCTGCAAAAATGAAACCTTTGAACATTGCACAGCTGTGGAAAACAATTTGCTATTCATGTTTAATTTTGTGCACAGAATTTCTGAACAGAAATATTATTTCTTGCAGATAAATTGTTTTCTGCACAAAAATAACAGGTGGAAATTTCGCACAGAATCAAGCCAAAAATAATTATCTGCAACTGCGCAATTCTCAAAGACTACTGTAGTGGGCAGAACATTACTGAAAAATATGCATTTACTTCCTTTGAGAATAAATTAACTCAGGCATTATAAACTCCTCCCATTACAAGATAATTTCTTCTTTGTGAAGTAAAGAAATAAAGATGGCTCCCTCCCTCCTCTCCTTTAAAAAACAACTAAAGACTCATTTTTGTTCACTAGCATAAGGAGAGGACTAGATAATGAAAGACCACCATCTGACTTCTGGTTTGAGAATTATTACTGTATTTGGCTCTGTCATTTTATGTTAACCCAGTTACCAAGTCTGGCCACACAATCAACTTTGTGATTCTTAGTTGGCCCCTGTAAATTAATTGTGGATGTTTTATGTTCAGACTATATGCCCATATGCCCCCTGGGGAGATAGGGTGTAATATAAATATATTATTATTATTTGAAACACAACAAGATGAGTACACAGCAAACAAGATCACTATACTGGTTGTTGTGTTGGATCACATGCTGGACATTCCCAAATGTCTAGGAATATGTGATGTATTGGTGAATAATGTGTGTAGATTCCAGTAGGGTGGCCTTTTGCAGCTGACAGGTGGTAATTTTGTCAGCACCAATTGTGTTTTTATTGTTGTTGTTGTTGTTGTTGTTATTGTTAGTATAAAAGTAGCTTCATTTATATAGTTTTCTAAAAACATGGCAGATGTGGAGACCATATTCGATCTCTTTGGGCAACACATCACATGTCAATCTTTCTATAAATTGTGATAAACTGATCCATTTATGAAGACTCCTATTTCACTTTCCAACTTCTATGTTTACACATTAAGATGGTATATACTCATGTATAGAAAGTCTAGAAGCCAGAAGCTTTGCCAAAGCGAAGAGAGTAGATGAGGTTGTGCTTCTTTTAGGTTCCCACAAGACAAACTTAAGTTCTTGCCTTTCACCACTCTACTCAAACAAGGGGATGTTGCCCTTTTAAATAAGAGTTAAGTTTCAGTACTCACAATGACACATGGATAAGTCAATACATTGTGGGGCGGGGTTGACTGCACTATGTAACAAAATTAGATTTTTTTTCTGTTCCTGGTTTGAAAGTGTGATTTCATGTTTAATTGTGCAGTACTTACTTTAAAAACAGTAGTTATATTCCAGAAACTTCGTTTTTGTGGCTGACACAAACTATATTAAATTGGTTGAGACTCTATGAGATATTCATTGAAAAACTATAGCAAAATGTGCTGCAGGGTGATCCGTAAAAACAAAGTTTTTTCTGTTTAATAAACCTTTTACATGTTTTTATGATAGAACCAATTAGGAAATGACATTTATAACCCAGGAACAAAATCACTGCAGTTTCTCATGTTGCTCCTGACACGAGAAAGAAAATCAAATCTTTTAACCTATTCAAAACTGTTGATTTTCAATAAATTAACCTTTGAATACATCTAAGGAATCAGGGAGACCTTACAGTGATATGTTAATTACACACTTTCCATATTTTTATTATTTTAATCATTTTATCTGGATAGTCCAGTGAGCAAAGATGCACCCATAAAAAGATATTAGAAAATGAGAAAACTATCTGTTTTCACTACACCTGGTTGTTTTTGAAGTGAATGTTGAAGCGGCAGAAGAAAAAGATGTCTCATTGCTTTTGTTAAGAGGAGATTAGCCAATCTAAGATCCTATTTGCACAGAAGGAGGAAATCTCAAGATAGAAAGAGATCAGTAAAGGGGAAAAAAGTGAGTCTAGAACGTTAGAAATTGTTTTGAGGAAGTTCTGGCTGCAGAAAGGTTCTCTCAGATCCCTGGGAGAGCAGCTGAGGCTGTGAACTTACAGGAATCGATCGGCTCAGATATCTTGCTGGAGAAGCAGCGAGCCCCGTAAAGGATCTGTAGGTGCTGTACCCATCTGCCAGGACGCTGGGGGAATTGGCATAGCTGTTGAGGTTGGTAGCGCTAGAGCCACTCCTGTTGTACAGGTTGTTGTTCAGTTCATGGTAATTTCTGGCAGGCGGCTGTGCGCTGCCATTCAAATGACCGGAGATTTGGTTTACAGAATAACCTGTCCTAGAGGACGATGATGTCATTTTGCTCTCAGCATCATCTGAAGCAGCATACAGGTTCCCTAGAGAATTGGCTAGCCTGGAGTTTATGGAAACGCTGAATGGAAAACACATGCCGGGTAAAAAAAAAAAAAACATATACACAAATGTACATACATGTGATGATGACGCATGCAAGACACTAGTAGGAAAATAACAAACCACCGTCACAAAAATTAATTGAGCACAGCCTACATTTTTTCTCTGGGGTAATGTAAACTATGCAGCAATCACTGGGGAAAATTTTACAACAAGGTGTGATGCGGTAATGGTAGTTGGTTGTCATGGACTGAGTAAGTATATATGAGCATGAGCTCCAAGAACCAGTAGATGACATGACCACAGACATCTGGAATTTTTGGCAACTCCTAACTGACTCACATACCATCTATCAGTTTTTTGACTTGTATTAACACTTTTATAAGACAAAAAAAAAACTCTATGTAAGACCCTGGCATGAGGGTTTTTAAAGACAAGGTTGTCAGTATCACATCTATAGTTTGATCAGTATTCAAGGACACTTCTTTATCCTATCAATTTAACCTCATTTGGAGTTCAAAAGGACATGTCAACTTTAGAATAAGGTCAAATATCTCAAGATTATCACTATTATTATCATTCAGCGCAAAAATTAAGGTGCAGATATAACAGGTCAGAACCATCTATTCCTTAAAATTCGGTTACTCTCACTCTCTTCTAGCTCCCTTTTAAAAGAAAAAAATCAGCAGAGAAAGGTGTACCTTTTCAAATTTGGGCTTGAAGACGGAGAATGTCTGTTTATTCTCTTTGCTGCAGGTGACACAGTAGCCGTCACTTTGGAAGACTTTAGAGGAGAGATACGCCCTTCTGAGAGAGAGGCTGTATTCAGTCTGAAAGAAGTACAAAAATAAAAAATAGTAATAAGACCACATGGTTAATTCAATCTGCATTACTCCAATTGAAATAAGAAATGCTTCCAAACATCTTAAAACAATAATAGAGCCTTAATATTTTGCTTACTTAGTAGGATTCTTTTAAGAAAAATCTCATCTTCATTCATGGCTATGACTCATTTTTATTTATTTCTGATTAAAAGGGGCTATTCTTTCTGTATAGGCTCATATAATATTGTTGTGATGTGATCTGCTAGACTGTTATCCAAAGCTATCTCTTGTTCTTAAGTTGAAGTTGTATGTAAGTCTGAGCATGTACATTTTCAGTGTAACTCCAGCCATATTGGGGGGGGGGGGAGAGGGAGAGGGAGGGAAGTGCGAGTGAGTTTTGGCGGGAGTTACACTTTAAAAATGTACCTGTTCCGACTTACATGTAAATTCAACTTAAGAACAAATCTAAAGAACCTATCTTGTTCATAACTTGGGAATGGCCATTTCAGTGTCCGTGGACACATAACTCTGCCTTGTACTAAATCAGGTTTTTGGTTCATTTAGCCCTAAACTAACAACTGGCCCCCCAGAGTTTCAGCAAACCTCCTTCTTAAGACTCTTCGAGAACTCATTCACTCTTAAGTTTCCTATTCAGGTGCTAGCCAAGCTTGATATTGATTAGTGTTCATTTGTGAATAGTGGCAATTCGGCAGATGTTACTTGTATTTATTCAGTAGATTGTAGACATTTATATTTTTGTGACAGGGGAGGTTTCTACCATTTGATTTTCTCTGGTAGTTTAACTATTCACTTAAATTACATTTGTCAACATAATAATAAATAAAAATACTTAATTTTAATCTGCCCTACCTCCCTGAGGGGACTCATACTCTCCTCCATAATGATTCTATGGTATTGATCATAATTTCGTACAGGAAAACCCAGCTGTTCTCTCTAGGCATTTTCTAGGTCCTCCAACACAATTCTATGACATGTTTCCACTGGAAGTTGTTCATTTAAAAGGGGTTTACTTATTATATGTGGCTTTACATTTCCATGCTACTTTAAGGAACATATCCCCTGAAGGAGTCATACTATATACCGAAGTACTGTATTTTTTTGCTCTTTCCTGCTGATGATATTTCAGAACATGTTCCTGGAAGACTGTGATCTTACACTCTGAGCTTTTGGCTATCATGGTAACAAAGCCTGGAACAATTTCACTGACCAACACACATTTTGGTGCCTCAAACTTTAGACCTGTTTGGATATTTAACCTTCTGAATCCAAAAATAGCATTGGTTTTCCCCTATCAGCTCTAGCTTTTGAGATACCAGTTGCCATCTGCTTGCCCATAGAAAATCATGATAACCATGTCTAAAATATTAGAGCTGATGCAATCTATCCAATGCAGTTTTTTGAATCAGCGCCCCAAATAATCCCAGAAAGAGGCAAATAAATCCCCCAAGACACTCATATTTGTTTTGGTTGGGCTGCATTTGAATGACCACTTCCAGAGTTGTAACTCTAAATCATAAAGTATTTGAAAATCTTCCATGAACAGGTTCTCTTGAAGTCACATGTTATTTGACATCTGTATGAAATAATTAGGATTTAGGATACAATGCCATAAAATTGCTGATGGCATATAGCGGAACTGAAACTATCCCTGACAAAATTCAGAAGGTTAAAAGATTAGAAGTCAATTAACATGGTAACACAAATGCTTCCCTTTAAATTATGGAATCAAGTACCTGAAAGGTTGGGATATGGATCTGGTGTGCAATTTCACATCTTCTAACCTAGAAAAAATCAATAGCATTTTACAACAAAAGCATCAGGCTTGAAAGGCACAGGGCATATAATTGATTTATTACTGGATTTCTGCCGTTTTATATGGCAGGCATGAAAAAAAAGTTATATAACATTCCAATTAAAAGCACATCCACGCAGCAATAAAACAGGCGTTTACTACCCACAGCCACAGAATAATAAAACAGTACTTTACTACAAGGAAAGTACTGTCACCCTCTCCAAGTTCTGCAAATGTTTCATGAGAAATAATCTTCCTACTTTGTCATGAAGAGCAGAACATGAAGGAAAAAGGCTAGAAGCTGATCCTTGGGAAAGAACCAATAATTCACAAGCCCCCAACAAGGCCTTCACTGTCATCTTCACATACTCACTATAATGCAGGGGGCAATCTTTAGAGCAAAGAGGCACAGATATAGTCAAGACAAGGGCTCAATGACAAGAGCATAAAGTTTTTATAAATAAGGTGACAGGTGTTTCTGGGATGGGGAGCAGAGGCAGGAAGAATGATGCTGGAAAACATCTTTGCATGAATTGGGGAAACCACTGCCAGGCCAGATCCGGAGCAATACTACAACAGAACAGGCAGGCCAGCGGTCCAATAACCTATGCTTGTATATCAGCACATATTCCTTCCCAAGATTACAACTTTCCTTTTCCATTAAAACAAACATCTTCAGTCAAATTTAAGGATTATTATTATCATTGTTATGGTCCTGAAGAGTCAGAAGCGACTGAACAAATAAACAACATCATTATTATTATTATTATTATTATTATTATTATTATTATTATTATTATTACTACTACTATTTTACAGTTAAGATTCAAAGGAAGCATCTTTACCACATCTAATTTGAAGGGGATACTCAACCATGCCCCCATTAATTCTTAAAGGAGCTTTGATCTTTCTGAAACTCCGACAACAGGGGTCACTGTTAAGCAATACATGGTTATTTAGTGCTACAATGAAAGTGTTATTGGAACTTTTTGAGTCATATTTTTAGGGCAGTAAGAGGAAGGGTTAATGAAAAGAGCTAAGTCACTATCTGCTGAACTGAAGAAACTTTTATAAATTTTGAAGTGTGGTGTTGCAGGATTTACAGTTACAATTGCCAGCTGCAGAGATATCTTCTCTTGACCCTTCACCTCCATTTTTTAATATTTTCATCACAGCAGGAGACAGTAGCAGCAGGCATGTTCCAGTAGCTATTTCCCTCAATTATGTTTCTGGGAAGGATGTCACATCATTTTGTACTAGCTTTCTATGAATACTTTTGGGGATTGGGGGGGGGGGGGGTTAGCCCCCACTAATACAACCAAATTGTATTTCAAAACCACACTAGGGAAGCGTTCAATGTTTTTTTAAAAATACATGGATATTAGCACAAGACCATTTTCTAGAAAAATACAAAACAATGCCAAAACTCTCCAGACACAAACACAGAAATCAATCAATTACCTAAGAGCTCCTGTTGTAGCTGAACGTGGCTGTCTCCGAAGTTTTAAGGCACGGAGTTTATCTCCCTGAGTCATGCCATTCTTAGTTTCTACCTCTGCATTGTCCTCCAGATCATTCTGAAAAATAATTGCAATACAAAAAAATTAAATGTGCTGTCGAAGGATTTCATGGCCAGAATCACAGGATTGCTGTGAGTTTTCTGGGCTGTATGGCCATGTTCCAGAAGGATTCTCTCCTGACGTTTTGCCCAGAACTATGGCAGGAATCCTCAGAGGTTGAGGGGTCTGTTGGAAACTAGGCAAGAGACTTGGGTGATAGTTGGAGTTTTTCTAAAATCAAGACAGTAAATAAAGAGCAACACCCAAAAAGCAGAGGAATTCCAGACAAGAATCAATTGGGGCCAGTTGATACCTCCCAACAAAGGATTACCCAGGCAGCATTCAGCCAGGCTTTGAAGCTGCAAGGCCATTGAATGCTAATCAAGGTGGCCATTTGCAACATTCACACTTGACTCAAGCGGACAAGACTTCTTTCTCCCACCCTGGACATTCCAAAGATATATAAACCTCACTTGCTTAGTTTCCAACAGACCCCTCAACCTCTGAGGTTGCCTACCATAGATGTGGGTGGAACATTAGGAGAGAATACTTCTGGAACATGGCTATACAGACTGGAAAACTCACAGCAACCCAATAAAATTAAAGATATACCAAACAGCACTCTATTTTATATGGGAGCCCACCAGTTAACCAAGAAGTCACATCACTTTCCCTCCTTAGGGCATATTTGGCCAGTATTACATCATGCTTGCGCTCATGTCCCCATTTTTCATACTATAAAAAGAAATAGTACTGTACTGCAATGTAAAGGCTGACAACCAGTCAATCTAGAACATAAACTGGAGTAATACAAGGAAAAAAGAATCTACCCCTATCACTTTTGGATTTATCCTATACCAGGTTCCTAAGTGGACAAAGCTAAAAGCACAATATTGTTTCAATCAGGTCTTGGCTTGAGTCTGAACTATAGAATGCCGCCTTATATTGACTCAAGCCTTTTGTTCACCTAGTCCATTAATCATCCAGGCGTCCCCTGGGCAACGTCCTTGCAGACGGCCAATTCTCTCACAACAGGAGTGGTTGCTCCTGACACGACAAAAAAAAAAAAAACAACAAAAAAATTAAAAAAAAACTTAGTCCATTATTATCAATTCTGAGTGACAACTGTTCTCTGCGGCATGGAGCTCCCTTCCAAGTATTAACTAGACCAGACTCTACTAAGTTCCCAAAATGAGGCAAGACTGATTGTATTCAAGGTGGTGTGGTGATATCAATACTGTACTAATAACGTACTATTTCTTTATTAAATATAAATCCTAACTTTTAACTAAAAATAGTGCATGAAAATTAACAATAAAATTATAGATATTATAAAGCTGCCTTGGATCCATTCCATGAGAAGCTTGGGATATAACTTCAATGTCAACAAACAAATGTAAAAATTATAACACCTCAATTAAAATCTGTACCAGCATGTCAAATTCTAATAAAATCACACTGAGTTAGAGAGAGAGAGAGAGAGAGAGAGAGAATGAGAATAGTATCAAATAGTATTCAGCCAGCTGATTGGAATCCACTTCAATGCTAAATCAGCTTAGATGAAAAAATCCTGCTAGAATAAAAATATCTTTGCCTTCTGGCAGAAGGAACAGCAGAGTCTGAACTAACCCGATCTCACTCTGTTGGGAGCTCCAAAGCCTGGGAGCAGCCACCATTAAAGGATTATTAACCAGGAATTAATGTATGTGTGACAGTTACTAAAGTGCTGCTTCCCCATCTCTTCTCAAAAACAACCATCCAAACTTTACAGCACATATGAGTTTGCATGATCATTTCATGTGGAATGAAGGTGGGAATAAATGCCATACTCAAGTCGTTCTGATCAGTCCCCTCACAGTGAGTATCTTGGTTAATCCTTGTTATGTCTCAATTAAGAAACTAATATTGTTTAATTCTGATTGGCAAAGATGTGAGACGATAGCATAATGGCCAAGAGCTCTGTTTCAGAATGACAGCAGTAAGAGATAAATAAATGTATTACACGTACTATTCAACAGTGGAACTCTCTGCCTTGGAGTGTGGTGAAAACTCCTTCCTTGGAAACTTTTAAACAGAGGCTGGATGATCATCTGTGAGGGGTACTTTGATTGTGCTTTTCCTGCATGGCAGGGGGATGGACGAGATGGCCCACATGGTCTCTTCCATCTATTATTATTCTATGATACACGTGTGTCATGGGATCCCGCTGACACACTCCCAAGCTATTAAAGATCCATACAACTTGAGGCTAAGCATTAGCAATACACATATAACACTCAGCTCTCATTCTGCAAATATAGTTGGTATAAAGTTGCTGCTTCTCATATCATAATAATAATAATAACAACTTTATTTATACCCCGCCACCATCTCCCCAAGGGACTCGGAGCGGCTTACATGAGTCCAAGCCCAACAACACATCAATAAAACAACAAACAATAATAAAAACAAGCAATAAGCAAAATAAACAATTTATCCTATACCAGGCTCCCAAGTGGACAAAGCTAAAAGCACAATATTGTCTAATCCTCTATCTTTAATAACATTACAACCTCTACACTGTTTTTTTATCACTTATATACTTTGTTGTTGTTGTTCATTCGTTCAGTCATCTCCGACTCTTCGTGACCTCATGGACCAGCCCACGCCAGAGCTCCCTGTCGGCCGTTACCACCCCCAGCTCCCTCAAGGTCAGTCCAGTCACTTCAAGGATGCCATCCATCCATCTTGCCCTTGGTCGGCACCTCTTCCTTTTGCCTTCCACTTTCCCCAGCATAATTGTCTTCTCTAGGTTTTCCTGTCTCCTCATGATGTGGCCAAAGTACTTCAACTTTGTCTCTAGTATCCTTCCCTCCAATGAGCAGTCGGGCTTTATTTCCTGGAGGATGGACTGGTTGGATCTTCTCGCAGTCCAAGGCACTCTCAGACCTTTCCTCCAACACCACAGTTCAAAAGCATCTATCTTCCTTCGCTCAGCCTTCCCTAAGGTCCAGCTCTCACATCCGTAGGTTACTACAGGGAATACCATGGCTTTGACTAGGCGGATCTTTGTTGCCAGTCTGATGTCTCTACTCTTCACTATTATCAAGACTGGACATTGCTCTCCTCCCAAGAAGTAAGCGTCTTCTGATTTCCTGGCTACAGTCTTATATACTTATGTACAGCTTATATAAAATACAAAAATATTATAATAACTGTTAAATACATTTCAAAGTGTAATATCCAAATACTGCTTTTTAAGATAGCCATCGCAGAGAATTCCAGTGAAATTTTACCTCTCCATATCTATCCATATTTTCTATTTTACTTAAAGTCCCACTGATGGAAATGTCATCGAAACCAGACAGAACTTTGTTCACACTGTCTTCACCTACTCCTCTCGGTTTCTGTTTGGCGCGAAAGATATCTCCTTGGACCCATAACATTGATTGCTTTCTGTTCAAGAGTAAGAAAGAAATACAACATTAGTACCACTAATATGGCAAAAGACACAGTAAAATTATAATGTTCAATAAGAACTGCTAGTCACATGTGTTGTTGGATAAAACAAATCACATACTATATAGGAGGCACAACTTCCATCTTCCAATCTAAAAGGCCTTTTGCTAATGTTTTTTAATGCAATTTATTCAATGTAGTTTATTTTTCTATGTATTTTACACTTTTGATCAGGCAAGCATGATCAAAAAATATATTCTAAGCAATTTGTGAAAATTGTTTTAATATGCCTTTACAAAGTTCTGAACCATTTTCTACCTTCTAAGAAAATAAGAAAGAGGAAGCTGCAATAGCATATTTAGCTGAAGAGAGGGGAGAGGGGTTGATGTTCCCTCCTCCCTCCCTCTGGGTCTCACTGGTACATCATGGCCCACCAGAAGTGATGTCATGACACTTTTGACCGCCACTTGCAACAGGTAATTGGCCAGGACAAAGATGCCTGGGCAGGTTGTGATGTTAGCAAATCAAACCCCTGTCTCATGTGCAGTTTTGGTGCATTTGCTGTGGAAAATTGTCAAAATATATTGTCAAAGACTTTCATGGCCAGAGTCACTGGGTTGCTGTGAGTTTTCCAGACTGTATGGCCATGTTCCAGAAGCATTCTATCCTGACATTTCGCCCACATCTATGGCATGCATCCTCAGAGGTTGTGAGGTCCATTGGAAACTAGGCAAGTGGGGTTTATATATCTGTGGAATGTCCAGGGTGGGAGAAAGAACTCTTTGTCTGTTTGAGGCAAGTGTGAATGTTTCAATTGGCCACCTTGATTAGCATTTAGTGGCCTAGCAGTTTCTTTCTCCCACCCTGGACATCCCCCCCCCATATATATATATATATATATATATATATATATATATATATATACATACATACACACATACATATATATATACACACACACACACATCCTAATTTCCAACAGACCTCACAATCTCTAAGGATGCCTGTCATATATGTAGGTGAAATGTCAGGAGAAAATGCTTTGGAAACATGGCCATAACAGCCTGAAAACTCACAACAACTCATTTTCAAAAACCATTCATATGGTTTACGAAAAGTTTTGGGAGGCTTAGGGTTCAGGACAAAATGAGACCCAGGAGCTGCATTTTCACCACCCCATTCTTGCAAATACAACAAATCTCATAAAATGATTACAGACCATTGATAAAAATCCAAATGTTTGGTACATTTAGTACAAATCAGACACCTGACTTTTGGAGAACCTCCAGCCAAGTTTTCTTGAAAACATCCAACTAAATTCTGAAAAACTGATGGATGAATAAAGGTTGTTTTTTAAAGAAGCCCAGAAAGTTGCGTTAGTAAGAAATCATCACGTCTTTACTTTCCCCTCATGAAGAACAAGCTTTGCTAAATTATACCGTTTTCCTCCATGAACAATCTTTTCCTGCAATTTTGCTTGGTAGAGTGAAGTGTGACAACTCTGGCAATGAGCCAAAAGAAAGAGTGTTATCCACATACTTTTGAGTCAGAGAAAAGCTCCCATTGGGAGGTTATATAACCGACGAAGAGAACAGGATTAGAAAGCTGAAAAAAGTATTCCTGCTTAGAGTGAGGAAGTTGATATCCAGTGTAATTAAGAGTGATCTGAGATTACACTGCTGACGATGCAAGCCAAGTTAACCCTTGGAAGGATTGCTGGGAAAGCGTGTTACATGAACACAAATAATATTGACAAGGCAAATTATCCCTTTCAAAGAAGCAACTGGTTTAAAATTGTTTTTAGAATTAAAAGTTCTTTCTAATAGAGCTACCTCTTTGAAGTCAGGTACCCGAAAGAACTTAAACATGTATGCTGTATTTTCATGGATGCCTGCCACAGATGAGAGTGAAACATCAGGAGAGAATGCTTCTGGAAGAATAGCCATACAGCCCGGAAACCTCACAGAAACCGCATGCTGTATTCTTTCCTCTCTCACATATACTGTCCCTTTCAGAAACATTCCCAGAAGTCACCCTTGCATATATGAAATGCTGCCCCTTCAGTTGCTGTTAGAAATACTTGTATCCGACACAGATAACCCTGTGATGTTTTTGGAGATGCTTTTTTAATGTACTGAGAAATAACATTGCTTAGGAGCCTCCTATTTTTGTCTCCAACTTTCTACAGACATTGATCAGCCTGTTTTTTTAGTCAAGTAGAGACCTCCACTACAGCAATTTTGTTGTTTACTGAACTTACATCAAAGAATCTATTTCACATGGATGCTTCTGTGTTATCTATTTTATCTGTTTCCATGTTTGTGCTAATAATTAAAAAGGTAACATAAATGCACCACATGGTTGGTTGTTTTACTCATATTAACATAACAACACCTTTCAAAAATATGAGTGGGTATCAAGTGAATCAGGGCCCTCTGGTGGTGCAGTAGGTTAAACTGCTGAGCTGCTGAACTTGCTGACTGAAAGGCTGGCGGTTCGAATCTGGGGAGTGGGGTGAGCTCCCACTGTTAGCTCCAGCTTCTGCCAACCTAGTAGTTCAGAAATATGCAAATGTGATTATATTAATAGGTACCGCTTCTGTGGGAAGATAATGGCACTCCATGCAGTCATGCTGGCCACATGAACTTGAAGGTGTCTATGGACAACGCAGACTCTTCAGCTTAGAAATGGAAATGAGCACCACCCCCCAGAGTCGGACTCAACTAGACTTTTACCTTTACCGTATCACAGTGAATAAAACCAGATGACAAGATAATTCAACTTTTAGACTGGACACGTGTGTATTTCATTATAACAAGGAATACAGAACGCTCAATAGAAAACCTACTTTATGGCAAAAGCATTGATTTTTAAAACCACTTGACCTGTAATTCTAATATCAATATTATTTTTATTATTAATAATAATAATTGCTACTGCAGCTGTTATTTACTGATTATACTATATTAATTGTACAAAATGTCAGCATCAAACAACTGAAATATATACGTATTTAAAACAACCATTCACGATAAGACGGCTATTGCTTGCCTCTAGCATTTAAAGCTGTGACCTTTAGCAAAGAGGATAAATGCTCAAACTTCCTACTCAGCCGATTTACCAATCTGCTCGTGTTTTCATTCCAGGAAATTAAACTGCTACATTTCATCTTGCTAAAATCAATATGATCTCAAGTGGCTCTATGCATTTCACTAACTAGACATAATTGAAGATTATACGCATCCTGTAAATCTGCTATGGGCAACGTATGAGTTACTGCAATTTCTACTTAGTTACTGTTGGGTGATTTGTTTTCAGAGAAAGTGGCCATGAAGATCGCAATGAAACTAAGCTGCATCTCATAATTCATTGCCTAGCCACAGCAGGCAACTACATCTGCAGGAGTCAAGTGCACGCAAAAACACAGCTGAAGTCATGCACAGGTCCCATGACTTCTGGGGAATGAAAAGGCCTTTCACGATTCGTGTTGGGGCTCTTTCTCATGTCAGCACCACCCCAATATCTGGAGGGAGTGAAACAAGTACTGAAAAACTACTGTTAACAGACCTTGTATTACCTTCATTCTGAATATCTTTTTCCTCCAAGTTGAACACTCTTTTAGTTATTGCAATAAGTGTACGTCATTTAATTAAAATGGGCTTTTTTCGTGTCATGAGCGATTTGAGAAATTGCAAGTTACTTCTGGTGTGAAAGAACGGGCTGTCTGCAAAGACATTGCCCAGGGGACACCCGGATGTTTTCACATCCTGTGGGAGGCTTCTCTCATGTCCCTGTATGGGAAGCTGGAGCTGACAGATGGGAGCTCACTCTGCTCCCTGGATCAAACGGCCAACCTTTCGGTCAGCAGTCCTGCCAGCACAAAGGTTTAACGCTTGGCACCACCGGAGGCTGTGATGGACTTATTGAACATGGTGCAAGTTTTCAAAGCAGAATGGCAGAACTGTGCTCAAAATGTCCGTATAAAATATTATTGCTCCCAAGGAGTTGAAGAGAAAGTGAGAGTACACATGTACATGGCTCCAGTCTCTAGGTTTTTCTGTAGAGTAGTTTTCCTCAACAAAAACAAATGTCAGCACTTGTGGGTAGATGCACCCAGATACACAAAGTCGGGTGGTACAGTGAGTAAGTTCTGTCCTTCGGTAGGTCTCATTGTATTGCTGTCAGCTTTCCTATATTTCAGCTTGAGCTGGGATTAATAGCCAACTAGAATCAACATTCACTTTGCAAATTACAGATACAAGGCATATATGGTTTATACCAGTGGTTCCCAACCTGTGGTCCAAGAACTAAAATATGGCCCAAATGCATTGCTTTGGATAGACCACATCAGTTCTAGATTATTAAATATGGTTTTCTGTGAGCGAGCAGTCGGCGACTACAGGATGGCATATGTTCTGTATCAGAAACTAGAGCTGATGTGGTCTATCCAATGCAGTTTTCTGAATCAGCACCCAAATAATCAAACCGAATCTAGTTGACCAAAAACTGATTTGTAGCCCTTTTGGTACTAATGTTAGAGAGTGGTCCAAGTGGTCCCTGGTCAAAAAAAGGCTGGGAACCACTGGTTTATATGTTGAGTATCACCTTAAATTAAACAGCTGAAAATATACAGTTGCAACACACTGATTTCAAGAATTTTCAATCGGCAACTGTATATACAATTCAACCCAAGGAAACTCCAGGAAAGCCACCACTGAACCTGGCTGCAGTAAGAGACTTTCTATAAGAAAAACACATGGCTTTGAAAAGCGAATCACGGGTGTTTAACTTACTCTTCAAGAAAGTGCTGCTGGGGTCCAATAATAGAACCTGGTCGGCACATTCGTATCCAAGCAATGGCTTCAGAATGTGTAAATCTATAATGTTTCATTATATAACAGGCTATCAGTGTTCCTGTTCTTCCTAGCCCGGCTGAAATAAAGGGGGAAAGGATGTAAAAAAATAAGCATAGGTATACTGATAAATATTTCATAAAATTGTTTCCTTGTATCACGTTTTACAAAAAGAACACCAGCAGAGTCTATTTTAAGCCTCATGGGTCTGTCACAGTGCAAACATCCTGCTATATCCCTCAGAGCTTTGATAATGCCTGTCTTAACCTCTAGTAGCCTTTCTATTCCTGCCCAGATAATTTAGAACATATCGCCTCCTCGGTTTGGCTGAACACCACCACGCTGCTTTGTTGCAAAACTGAAGTCAAATGTCAGGGTAGAACTGCAGGCATAGAAACGATTTACAAACTTCTCCTTCTTTTCCTTTCAATGTGTAGGATAATGTTTAACTATGCAAGAATTTCAAAACATAGGATGAAAAATATCACACTTCGCTGGCAGCTACTATCAGGACCCTGAGGACTGATTTTACATTTATTCAGTTACATTTCTGTATTATTTTTTCATTCAAGATTTACTCAATAAAACCTCCCAAGACAGACTTCTAAAGAAACTTCCACCAAGATGGTTAGTGGTGCTAATCTTTGATATAAGGACATATTTTGCCTTTCCCCCCTTTACGCACTGCACATAGATGCACTGATGCACATATCCATGAATGTTTGAGATCTTGGACCATGACAAGGAATAAGAAATGAGAACGAAGGAGCAAAAAGCAAGAGTTCTCAGGGGAATTATGCTATTTCTTCTCCATGTCCATGTTGGAGATCAGCCTGAGACACCTGAGACTGATGATTTAGAGAGGATTGTGGGATTGCCTGTGGGATTTCCTGGGGCTTGAAGTGATGAAGATTCAATTCAGGGCAATGATGCTTCTCTCTGAGGGAAATCTGACTCAGAAAATGCAGGGATTGAAGGTCAGTCAGATGAGCCAGAAGCTGCAACATTCGATAAGGAGTTACAGAAGACTCTCAGGAGTTACGGAGATCAACAAAAGTCTTTATTTGCAGATCAGGGCAGATAATAGGCATTGTAGGTCTGAGTGATTATGTGGGAAAGCTTGGGATAGATTGCTTTTTGTAACTTGCCCCAGAATGTAATGGGGGCTACAATCTAGACTGGCTCTGGACCCTACAAGACAAAATTACTGGATTCCAAAACAGAAAATTTAACAAAAAACGATTACTGCTTTTATTTATGTATTGTTTATTTATTTACCCTATTTATATCCCGCCTTTCTCTACCCCGAAGGGGACTCAAGGCGGCTTTACAAAGAGGCAACTATTCCATTCCTTGAAACAACATACAATTAAAATAAACATTCAAGTTAAAGATTTGAATTTAAAATACATTAAAACATTAAAAACATTGCATTCACTATTAAAATCATGTTATCCACAATTGTAATTCAGGGTCGTTCCAATAATCATTGCACCTATTCCATATTTATTATTACACTAGAGTTATTCTCCAAAGGCTTAATCCCAAAGTCAGGTTTTCATTTTCCTTCTGAAGGCTAAGAGGGAGGGGCTGATCTAATGTAACTGGGGAAGGAGTTCCAAAAGTGAGGGGCCACCACTGAGAAGGCCCTGCCTCTCGTCCCCACTAGTCGCATCTGTGAAGAAGGCGAGACCAAGAGCAGGGCCTCCTCAGACCATCTTAATCTCCAAGATGATTCATAGGGGGAGATACGTTTGAACAGGTAAGCTGGGCCGGAACAATGGTTCTCAGCTTATGGATCCCCAGATGTTTTGGCCTTCAATTCTCAAAAATCTTAACAGCTGGTAAACTGGATGGGATTTCTGGGAGTTGTAGGCTGAAACACCTGGGGACCCACAGGTTGAGAACCACCGCCCTAAATGGTTTAGAGAGCCAAATTAAAAAGACCTGGTAAGGAAAAAGAGGAAAGCACTACACTTTTATATCTCAAAGGAGATAATTTCATTTGAATAAATTGCTTATTTATAGGAACTCTAGGGAGCATCATGGAAAAATTGCAAAATCACTGTCAACCCGCAAGCAGAAGGATGCAATGTTCTATGTTTATACAGTTTTTTAAAACAAAATAGCTATGTGAAATCATTACTAAAAGAAGAAGAGAGAAGCAATAGCATCACACAGTGGAATAAAAAAGAGTCTGCATAAAATATAACAGGAACCAACAGAAAAATTCATTCCAAATTCAGAGTGGAAGTTTGTAGAATTTAGACTATAACATTAAGATCTGAGGATGCAATTTTCAAACCTGGCTACATCTTTCTTCTTAAACCAGCACACAGGCTTTTAAAACGTACCTTTGCAGTGAACAGCAATGGCCCCTTCTGCTTCCTCACAGATGCTCAAGAACTGTCGTAGTATACTATCACTTGGCGTGCTTCCATCAATGAAGAATAAGTCATAGTGCTCAAATCCACCATCTGTGAAACGCTTTGCCTCATAAATCTTTTTGTTGAGTCTTATTACTGTGGTTACGTTGTGTTTTCTGAAATATGGGAAATAAGCTTCGGGTGCATGGAGAGGGTAGCCTATAACAAGGAGAGAAAGAATAATTGGGCATTTAAATAGAATCTACAGAAAACAAACTATTCACAAAAAATTATTTACAGCAACATACTTTAAATAGTATTTTTAAAGAATGAACATACAGTCAGCTTCCCATGTTGGATAGGGTTATGGGTATGGGTACAGGACTCTTGTCTTCCAGTACAACTCTATGATCAAATTCCATTGGAAGCTGACCACAGTATTGTATTGGAGGGTGTAGAGATTCTTAGAGAGCAATTATATCTAGAAATCTGAAGATCCTCCAGTATGACTGCATAAAGCTGACCACAGAGTTACATTGGAGGACCTAGCGAGATGTTTTGTAATCAAATCTGTAAACAAATCTTCAAAATTCAAAACTACAAATGCAGAAATGACTGTACTACTTGCTTAATCAACATCATTTCAAAAGAATAGAAATACTAAAAAGTCTGCCCAAGTGAGTAAAGTGCAACACTATGGAGGCAATAGATTGTAATCACAGTCACAACTCATGAATAATTCTAAGTACTGGAATAAAAGGTCCAACTATTATTTTCATTGATTGAAGATCTGTCTCATTGGGATGCAACTAAAGGAAGTGGCAATATAGTACATCCAAACTATGAACACTCACTGATCTACCTTATTCCCCAATCTCGCTTTCTATATTGCTCCTCAAGCTTTTGTTTTAAGCTGCTTCACTTGGCTTGTTTGGGAAAAAATGCCTTTTAAAAGGTTTTCTTCAATAAAAATATTCGCAATTGTGAATAAGTGACTACTGAAGAAATAACTGAATCTTCTGGATTTGAAACATTTTTGATTGTAATTATGTTTCAGATGCTGGGAGAATACATATATGTTCAAGAATTCTGAACAATTAGAAATTTTGACCATTCAAAAATATCTTGATTTGCCCTTTTAGGTGTCCAGTTTTCACTGAAAGAGTTTTTATAGGGAGACAAATCACTCAGATGCACTCAGAGAAAAGATGCTCCTTCACTGGTACACCCTGCTTAGATCTTATATACAGACTTAATGTAAACCACAGGTTTTTGGAACCAAAACTGGAAGATTCAAGAACTTTCCCATGTATTTATAAGTTCTTTTAATCTCGGGACAATTCCTATTCCTACTCTGCATCTCACCCCCTACCAAAAATATGGAACTGGGATAATGCAAAGCTTGTAAAAAGTTCTTACTGAAAGATGCACACATAAAACCATTTCATTTTCGGACTTGGTGAGATGTTTAAACACTTCATATATCTACCACAGGAACCACTTCCAATATAACAGAAATAAATGCATTCCCATATATGACCAGATATACCCCAAGCATATAAACTGACTGGTTAAATACCTGTGCTTCTGTGATTACAGTCAAGAGCTAGTCATATTAAACTTAAAAAAAAAAAATCAACAAAGCAAATCTAGAAGAACACATACCATTTTCAATCTTGGTCTTTGGATGTGGTCCACTAAATGCTAAAAATTTTCCTGGGACAATCCAGTTGAAGTCACCATTTTCTACTCGCTATTAAAAATAAAAGCAAAAACATTTCCTTTTTAAAAAGATGTTTAAAAACAGTGTTTAACCCATATTAAAAATTGATGCTCTTTTCTGGATCATAAAATATGTTAATATAATACAAATCTGGTTTTTGGCCAGAGCTCCTTTAGAATCACACCCCCTTCCAATTTGGTGAAACTTTACATCCAAGACATTTCTGCTGACTCCAAAAGATGTGCTTGAATTATCTGCAAACAATTACTTTATTTACAATACTGACAAAGACTATGGTAGTCTGCCACATAATTAATGCTTGCAAAACTAATCTTTAAGGGAAGCCAAAATTAAGACCAATTAGCTTTGATATATTTTTTTCCTACACAAGTAAAATTGTTGTCAGGCCAACTATTGCTCCCGTGAATCATCCACTTATTATGGCAAGCAACCCACTATTAAAAATAGATGTGTGCCAACTGAAGTGATTGGGTGAGATCCAATATAAGTTCTCCATTCATGGAAAAAGCATTCTCTTACAAGACAGATTGTTCTTTGCTTGTAACTCTCCAAGCATGAACACAGCAACTGCACCAGATCCCACCCATATGTAATAGTTTTTGTTTTCAGATTTAGATATTGTGAGTACAAACAATTATGGACCAAAGATTTATTCATGTGGATTTTAAAGTGCATACTTATGGAAATGTTATGTATGCAGTTATACAAAATATACAAACAATAATGTTTTGGAAGACACTTGTATCAACCTAGTATATTGTGCTTCCACTGAATATGTAAACCTGGGCAAAATATGAATTGTGAAAAATGGAATGTTGTGTACCTAAGCCTTTGGCATACATTTAAGTATTTGTAGAATTTTTCCAGGGAACAGGAACCTTTTCATATTTCCTGTATCAAGAACTCTGTTCTGTGCTGTTTCATCTCTGCATTGCTTTCACTTTAAAAAATACATTCAACTTCAAAAACAACAAGAGGTCCAATTTGCTTACTCTGACATGAATAAAGATCAGAAATTATCAAATGCTTAACCTAATTAAGGAGTCGGATTGCAGATGATTTTAGTGGATAATGCTTTGACCTACAAATTTTAGTATCTATTTTCACAGATTTTAATCAAGTGTCATTTGGAAACCAGACTCTGCATAGATTTGTATAAAACATGTTTTAGACTTGGTGTGGACATGTTTTAAATAGGAAGTCAATTACATTGCTTGTATATCGTGATCTTTCTGCTTTTGATGTGCTGAACTTAGTTTTGATGTTACAAAAACCTCTGATTTTAAAGTTTTAATGTTGAAAACTTCTGGTTTGTGATTGTAATAAATAAATTCATTCATTCAATCTATTGTGGACCCATTGTGTCCCAAGAAAGGTCTCTTTTTTTTTTTAAATCTTTATTGAAAATTCTCCATAAAAGCAATTAAAAACAATGAAGAAAAGATAGAAAAAGTGGGGGAAAGAGAGATATATGAGCAAATATATACAAAGAGGAAAAAAATAAACATAGAAAGAAAATGATGTGCCCTAAAGACAGAGTATAGAGAATAAAGATGGGTCTCTTAGCAGGAAAGGATACTAATTAATTGTGCCCTCAGTGGGGAGCGGTTAAATCCCTGAGCTGCTGAATATGCTGACCAAAAGGTCAGCGGGTTGAATCCGGAGAGCAGGGTGAGCTCCCACTGATAGTCCCAGCTTCTGCCAACCTAGCACTTCAAAAACATGCAAATGTGAGTAGATCAAGAGGTACTGCTCCAGTGGGAAGGTAAAAGTGCTCCATGCAGTCATGCTGGCCACATGACCTAGGAGGCCTCTAAGGACAACGCCAGCTCTTTGGCTTAGAAATGGAGATGAGCACCACCACCCCCGCCAGAAGTGGACCTGTCTAGACTTAATGTCAGGAGAACCTTTACCTTTATTTAAGTTATTTTATGCAATTATAACATTTTAAGAACACTGGATTAGTTCTTATGAAAGATCCCATATATTCCTATGCATTTGTGGAAAAACCAACTGCCTCAAACTACAGTAAAATTCTATGAAGACTGCCCAAATGAAGAGGTTCTATCTTCTTTCCTTGTACACATCATGGGCTGTTTTTCCCTCACAAAAGAAACATTAACTGCTCTCTATCTTTGATTATTATTCCTTTAAGAGCTTTAATTTTCTTTTAAAATGTTAAGCTAACATTGCAAGATCCAATACACTCTGTAGCTGGGTGTTAAATCATATTTTTGGAATACAATGCCACTGTTATTCTAGAGTTGTTTTGACATCAAGTTATGTTTTCATTTCCACTTAGTCCTTCTATTGTACCTTTAAGGCACTATTTTCACTGGACTGCCAACAGTGGATTGATAGTCAAAACAAGTGATTGAGAAGTGTGAAGTAGCTCTTTGCTCTCCAGCTACAGAATTCTGGTCTGGATACAAGATGATGCTTGATCATTACAAAATTAAATAGAATTAAATATTATAATTCTTAGATTATACGAATGGAGGTGGGAAAATGGCAAGAGTTTTAAATCAAAGTAAAAGATTGCATGGAAAAGATGAGCAATTTGTTTCTAGCAATTCCACTCAAAATTAAAACGAAGGACAGAAATCCCTTTAAATTCTGGATTCTTAACCAAGTTACCACAAAGGTTAATATTTAACATGCACTGTAAGGGTTTCATATAGTACAGTAATTACTAGTTAATCCATCCATTTAAGCCTACTGCTAGGGAAACGTGACTGGGCTTGTACGACACATATTTTCAAGCAGCCTCTTCAAACAATGACATTTCACATATAGAATGTATAGAACGTCATGCAGATTAAACAGAAGTGACATTACCTGCCCAATAAAAAGACAAAAAAGCAAAATGCCAGGCAATGCTACAGCTCTTAATTTGGAATAAGACAGATGTTGCAATCGTGGTATCAGCTAAACGTTTCCTTAGTACCAGTCATCTGTGCAAAACATACATTTTTCTAACAAAGATATTTTATGTCGAAGGCTTTCATAGCTGGAATCACTGGGTTGCTTTGAATTTTCCGGGCTGTTCCAGAAGCATTCTCTCCTGACGTTTTGCCCACATATATAGCAGGCATCCTCAGAGGTGGTGAGGTTTGTTGGAAACTAGGCAAGTGGGGTTTATATATCTGTGGAATGTCCAGGGTGGAAGAAAGTACTATTGTCTGCTTGAGGCAAGTGTGAATGTTACACATGGCCATCCTGATTAGCACTGAATAGCCTTGCAGCTTCAAAGCCTAGCTGGTTGCTGTCCAGGGGAATCCATTGTTGGGAGGTGTTAGTTGCCCTGATTGATTCTTGTCAGGAATTCCCCCGATTTTTGAGTGTTGCTTTTTATTTACTGTCCTGATTTTATAATTTTTTAAATATTGGTAGCCAGATTTTGTTCATTTTTATGGTTTTCTCTTTTTTGTTGAAATTGGATACTCCACCACAATGGATACTCCACCGCAGACATCAGAAAAACTGCAAGACCAAGTATGAGCCACAAGAGGAAAGACAAAGATTCACCCAGAGGAAAAGTGTTCTTACCATACATCAAGGGCACCACTGACCACATAGGGAAGGAAACTGATGAAGAAACACAACATACAAACTATCTACAGACCCACTAAGAAAATCCAACAAATGCTATGTTCAGCAAAGGACAAGAGGGATTCTCTCACCTCTGCAGGAATCTACCGTATACCATGCAGTTGTGAACAAGTCTATATAGGGACCTAAGACAAATCAAGGAACATGAAAGGCACTGCAAATTAATTCAACCTGAGAAGTCAGCCATAGCAGAGCACCTAATAAACCAACCTGGACACAATATATTATCCGAGAACACAGAAATACTGGATCAGTCTAACAACCACCATGTCAGAGTACACTGAAAAGCCACTGAAATACACAAGCATGTGGATGACTTCAACAGAAAGGAGGAAATCATGAAAATGAACAAAATCTGGCTACCAGTATTAAAAATCTCTAAAATCAGGACAGTAAGTAAAGAACAACACTAAAAAAGCATGGGAATCACATTCAAGAATCAATCAAGGCCAGCTAACACCTTCCAACAAAGGATACCCCCAGGCAGCAACCTGCCAGGCTTTGAAACTGCAAGGACATTTAATGCTAATCAAGGTGGCCAACTGCAACATTCACACTTGCCTCAAGCAGACAAGAGTTCTTTCTCCCACCCTAGACATTCCAAAGATATATAAACCCCACTTGCATAGTTTCCAAAAGGCCTCACAACCTCTGAGGATGCCAGCCATAGATGTGGGTGAAACGTCAGGTGAGAATGCTTCTGGAACATGGCCTTACAGCCCAGAAAACTCACAGCAACCCAAATATATTTATCTTTTGTTCATTTATTCCTAATATGTTATTTTTCTAAAGGGACATTTACAGCATTAAATGCACAATTTATCTCCTGATCAAATAAGTTAGCTTTCAGATGGCCAACTTTTGCAACATCTCTGTGCTTTGGTTCTTTTATTATAAAGAAACTGCATATCAACAAAGACAGCAGCAACAATGTACACTATATAACATCTGTCTAGCAGAAGTTCAAGCTCCTTAGGAAAAGAGATACAGCTGTGCATAATAAATGTTAGTGTTGAATTCAGGTGAGTTCATTAATGCAAAAAGATAAACCAACCTCATAGTGCTCATACTCATCTGCATCAAATGTCTTGAAGTCTACAAATCCATGTTGTAAGGCCTAGAAAGAAACAAAGTTTTCATAAAATCATGGATTACCATATAGAGAGTCACCTGCCATTTTTTATCTTCAGGGACCGCCTTAAACTGATATATGCACTCAATGAAGTATATGAAGTATGTTCTACTCCCATGAGGAAATGCATTGCCACACCGTCAAGAACAGTACCGATAGCCTCCAAAATTAGTACTGCTTACTGGGAGAGGGAGTCTCACTGCTCTATGAAGGGAGGTCTACCTCTGTGGTAATTAGAATTATTTTGGTATTGGATAGTATGGTCATTAGCAGTTGAACAGGATTCAGTGGAAACTATCACATTCAAGAAGTGCCTTTGTGTGTGAGAGTTTCAATCTGTTTTGTATTCTTGCTGCAGGAATTACCTTTTTTATTCCTTGTAGACAATCCAAAATAGTAAGATTGTATGTACAGTTTCCAAACGAGGCGTCCCTGCAAATAAAGAACATTCACATAGGTTAATTAAAAATATACATATTTATTTATTTATCATGTCAAAAGCAAATTGAGAATACAGTTATAATGTATAAAAAAACACAAATTTAAAAACTTGACATTGTGCTAAATTTCCTTTGACCAGAAGCTGGCCACTTCAAGTGCCTCTGGTGTCGCTGTAAAAAGGTCCTCCATTGTGCACATGGCAGGGCTCAGACTGCATTGTAGTAAGTGGGTCTTAGGTTTCCTCTTCTCCACACTCCACATAGCCCCATCGCTTAAAATTGACTCTGCATCTCGTGGTGCCAGAGTGCAATCTGTTCAGCGCCTTCCAAGTTGCCCAGTCTTCTGTGTGCCCAGGGGGATACTCTCATCCACTGATTGAGGTTCTGGGTTTTTACCTGCCACTTTTGGACTCTCACTTGCTGAGGTGTCCCTGTGAATATCTCTGTAGATCTTAGGAAGCACTTTCTTCATTAAAGTTGTTGGCATGCTGGCCAATATCTGAACAGAGGATGGACTGGAGATGTCAATGCCTTGGTCCTTTCATTGCAGGCTTCTACTTCCTGGCGGATATCAGGTGGTGCAATATCAGCTAAACAGTGTAATTTCTCCAGTGGTGTTGGGTGTAGACATCCTGTGATAATGCAGCATGTCTCATTAAGCGTCATATCCACTCTTTTAATGTGGTGAGATGTGTTCCACACTGGGCATGAGTACTCAGCAGCAGAGTAGCAAAGCGCAAGGGCAGATACCTTCACTATATCTGTATACAGTGCATGCATATACATCACAGAAGGAGGAAAGGTTTCAATTTTCAGATATGGAAAAAATGAAACCTCAACCGTTTATGTATTTGTAAAATATATAAACCACCTGTAAGTCCACAAGGGATTCGACAATGCTGAACACAATGTTTTGAAAGAAGAATGTTAAAAATTTTAAATTAAGAAAGAAAAACATTGACTTAAAATCCTTGTATTGTATATACATATTGACATATTTCTTCTCAATTAAATGAAGATAACGTCTTTTCCATTTTACATATTAAGTCAATGAGTTCTGAAATAGAAGCAATTGAACTTTTCATGTAATAAAGTCTTGTGCTTCTTGATATTTCTATTGGGGGTTCATGCTTATCAAAACATTGTATTGCCATAACTGAAATGCACACATATTGAAACTATGTTTAAAAACAGTACTCTTAGCTGATTAAAATGGGTGTGCAAAATGCGGTTTACAGTGGACCATATGGGATGGGAACTATGCTCCTCCCGGTTTTAGTTTTTAAACATATATACACATCCCCATGTTCTCTAGGAAATGTAGGGGACAATTTTGCTACGTTTTTGGGAGGGGGTGGCTATATTGCTTTAGGCACTTCTGGCTTTTTAAAACACTACCTCCTTACAACAGCACTACTAGTGTGTGTCACTAAAATCCAGAATGGTTAAGGCTGTGCCTTATTTTTATAGTACCCTTGCTGTTAACTAAAACGTAACCAAATGAAGTAATTTCCTACTATTTACTTCTTGCAAGGAAGCAATTATGAATTGCCTGCGGATACAAGGGACAATTTTCCTCCAAAACATCCAGAAATGAAGTCTTTTTAAAAAACTGTTCCAGAGATTTCATTACTAGTTACATATCCCCCTTCATTCCTGTGGGGACAATAGCCATTTATTCACTTTGCTTGAAAAGTCTGATTCGGTCACCTAACACTGTTACCTGGATGCCAAATCAATTTTTTATATTGTAGAGTGAGATTTTATACTCAGTGGATGAATCTTTATTCTTACTGACAACTTCTCAAATTTGCAGAAAGATGAACAGTTTTCCCCCCCAATAATCCCTACACAAAGACTAGAAAAACCTACAAGCAATTATTTAGTTGCTCACAGGCAGAAATATTTTTTTTTAAAAAAAATGGGCCAAGGAATACTGCAAAGAAAAGAAATAGAGGTGTATTTAGGCCTCCCTCCAAACCCATTCTTTTTCTGTTAGGAACTAATGGTGACAGTCCCACAAACCCTTATTTTTTAAAAYGAAAACATGACATTTGAGCACTTTGCAATTGAAAACTACACTGACATCRCCCCCCCCCCCCAAAACACTCACAAAGTGCCACAACCAACAAACACTTCTGCTTTCATTAAAGTTCCTCTCAAAATGGAAACATTTATTTGTTATTGATTGATTTACTGCATTTGTATCCCGCTTTTCTGCCAACCTACCAGTTCGAAAACATGCAAATGTGAGTAGATCAATAAGCACCACTTCGGCAAGAAGGTAACGGCGCTCCATGCAGTTATGCTGGCCACATGACTTAGAGGCGTCTACAGATAACACCAGCTCTTCAGCTTAGAAATGGAGATGAGCACCACCCCCCAGAGTCAGACACGACCAGACTTAATGTCAAGGGGAGACCTTTACCTTTACCTATGAAAAAAATCCCCCTAAGGAGATTTTATATCTAGAATACATAATATCTATAGAAGAAAATGTAGGTAGATCAAAAACTGCTATGTGACTTAGTGAACTCCCATAAAAGGGGTGTAACTACATAAACTATTTTATCTACCATATGAAAACTTATACAGCTGCATGCTTATTCTGGAGCCATCATGGTGCAGAGGTTTGAGTCTTGGACTAGGATTCTGGGAGACAAGGATTCAAACCCCTTTTCAGCCATGGAAATCCACTAGGTGACTTTAGTCATGTTGTGACCTTGGGCAGCACTTTTTCAGTTTCAGAGGATAGCAAATCTCATCGTAATAAATCTTGTCAAGAAAACCCTAGGTCAGGGTCATCATAAATCAGTCGGTTTGAAGGCACAAAACAACAATATTCTGTAAAGTTTCTGAAAATCCTGGTTTAAGAGATTCTTAAGGGGGAATGCAGATGTTGATCTGTCAACTGAATACTGTTTACAAATTTAGAAGTAAAAGTAACAAATATGCTAAACTCTAAGCAATTTTAACTGATGCTAACACCCCCCCCCCCCCCCCCCGGTAAAGCTGTTCTCTGTTTGAAGATAAAGTTGTCCCTGGAAAAATCATATCTCTCATCTTGATGTTTTCCTCATAGTTTTTTTCCCATGTCAGGAGTGACTTGAGAAACTGCCAAGTAGTTTCTGGTGTGAGAGAATTGGCCATCTGCAAGGACGTTGCTCAGGGGACACCCAGATGTTTTGGTGTTTTGCCATCCTTGTGGGAGGCTTCTCTCATGCCCCCGCATGGGGAGCTGGAGCTGACAGAGGGAGCTCATCCACGCTCTTCCCAGATTCGAACCTCTGACCTGTCGGTCTTCAGTCTTGCCAGCACAACTCATTGCACCACCAGGAGCTCCTTTCCTCATACTGAAAGATTTTTGGAGACACAGCATCTCTGCCCCTCTGCATTTACCCTAAAGCTTTGATGCGGTAAGTCTTGGTCATGCATTCATGACAAACTTTTAAAACCACAATAAAGGAAATGATATTCTGGAATGTCCTCTGTTCCTGGAAGCTTAAATGTACTTGCTCTTCCAAGAGTCACAGCCTTGAGGCCATTGTTATTTTCCTTTGCTTAAGAGCCCAAGCAAGTTCTGGCAAGTCTTTGTAGATTATTAACAGAACTATGGTTACAGCATATATGCCTTTCCACAATGAAAATATCAGTGTAGGCAGATACGTAAATAAGGAAGTACAATTGTGGGACAAGTATTCTGTAATACTGTAGAAGACTAGGTTTTTATGTATAGCGTTAAGTTTTTCTTCCCGTTACCCTTCTGCTTTTAGAAATAAGCAATGAATATACCACTGGCATTAAAAAATACACAAATTATAATATTTCCAGAAATTACTGGAAAAACAGTCCCAAAAAAAGTAATTGAGTGAAGAATATTTTAAAGTATTTTCCAAATATTAGAATTAGGAGCCCCCGGTTGTGCAGTGGGTTAAAGTGCTAAGATGCTGAACTTGCAGACCAAAAGGTTTCAAGTTCGAATCCGGGGAGCAGCATGGGCTCCTGCTATCAGCCCCAGCTTCTGCCAACCTAGCAGTTCGAAAACATGCAAATGTGAGTAGATCAATAGGTACCACTCTGGGACAAAGGTAACGGCGCTCCATGCAATCATGCTGACCACATCACCTTGGAGGTGTCTACGGATAACATCGGCTCTTTGGCTTAGAAATGGAGATGAGCCCCAACCCCCAGAGTCGGATACGATTGGACTTAATGTCAGGGGAAAACCTTTACCTTTACCTAGAATTATTATATGAAAAAAGAGATATAGAGAAATAGTTGTCTTTGATGACAAGGGCAATGCTAAAATCACATTTGTGATTATCCACATATATTCTTATTTTGCTGTCTTTGGACAGCAGGAATCCTATTTATTAGGATACAGTGCAATCCTTGTAAAGGTTTTCTTTTTGTTCGATGATTCAGTATTCCAGTTTTTTTTCCACAAGAGGACATATAAATAAATCAGAGTCAAGGTTTTTTTCAGTATTCTTCCAAAGAGGCAGACTGGTAGGTGCTATTTTGGCACTCTTCATCAACAACAGTACATTTCATCCGAGGGAAACTAAATTGTGAAATAGCATCCCTTCGGTCTGATATACTGCACAGATGGAATTTTATCCCATATCATACTGAGAAGATGTAACCATCATTAGATGAACCTTCTGAGATGAAAGTGATCCCATTCAGCAAAAGGCAGTTCTTAATATCAGCTAATGAAGAGAACAGAGGTATCAAAAATGCTTCTTGCTCATTTTGAATGCTAGGGATATCGCAGAAATAAAACGTGTCAGAAATACACCTAAAAGGCTGGCAAGGTTACTACCATCCTGTTTCCCAGTACAACTCCTCTGTTCATAGCCTCTTTTGTAGAGCAGGCTGGTTGCTAGCATTACATCCAGGAGGGAGTCAAATTACCTCACTAGAACTGAATGTTCAAATGTAGACAATGAAGCCTTGAAACAAACAAAAAAAGAGTACTCAAAAACCTCA